TGGGCCTCCTGTGGAACGAGAACAACCAGCTGGAGGATCAGGAGTTTGACGAGGACGAGGTTGTCTTTGATGCGAACGGAGAAGAGATCTTGCAAGGTGAGTTCTTGTGCTGTTGTTGCCTCTTTTCTTTTGGTCTCCTTTCTAACTGTTGCCATTTTTGGATTCCAAGGTGGAGATTGAGTGCAAGTATTGTCTGTTGCAGGGGATGCAACAGTGGGAATTGTTGTGGTGTTTGTGTCAAGCTATTTTGCTTGGCCTTTTGGTGAGTCTGTGGCCCTGTTTTGACTGTCTTTTTATCTTTGCAGAACTTTGCGAATCCTCACTCTCTGTCAGTTTGTTTACATTCTATCTAAATTGTGACGAAGTCATCTGCCGGCAGCTGTGATTCAGCTTCCAAAGGATCGGCATGTGGCTTCTTCACTGGTGATCTTCAGTGGCACAAAGCTCACACTTCCCCCCCCAGTTTGATGACTGGTTGAACTGTGTGGCGTCGTGGGAGCTTTGTGCCACTGAGAAGATCTTTTGCAACAGTGACTGATGGGATCTTTTGCGAGGGACGTGACGAGGCGACGGAGTGAAGGGATGCGGGATGAATCTCACCAGTTGGTGGGTGTCTTACTGGTTTGATGGTGGATTGCTTGTGACGGAAAGCATCTCTTTACAGTGGTCAAAAGTGTTTGGTCGATTGACTGTAACTCGTTTCGCGGAAGTGTGATTGAGTGTGACTTAAAGAAACGGCTTGCCTTTTTCAATCCCGATTGGGAAAAAATGTCTCGGATTCGCCAAGAAATGTCTCGGATTCGCCAAGAAATGTCTCGGACGCGAGGCGAGCCTCACTTTATTTCAAAATCAGTTTCAAAAGTACATTAAACTCAATAGAAAATCATTCCATTTGCGACAACTTGATCATGCTCTAGCATCACCAGTTTACACTCTATGACATTGTTACCCATAGTCCATCCTGGGTTTTACACCTCCCTTGACACGATGCAGCAGTCAAAGCAGCCACTGGGGCCACTTGAAAATTTCATTACCCATACCTTTCAATGCGTCGGTACCCATTCTTATCGCATCGCACCATGTTACCACCGAGTTTACCAAGCTATGTCACATAAGACCAACAATTGTAAGATGTATGGGCTCAAGCCGTCCGACTGTCCGACTCATCTGTCAACGGTCGCTTAACATCTCCGGAGAAGCAAGTATTTAACAAAAGCTCTGCGATGGCGTGGTTCGCAGGCTGAAATCTGTGGCCACGTGCCACTCTGCGAACCGCATTCATCGCATTAATTCCGGTGACAGGTTTCATTTAACACGTCATCTTGCACTTTTTTCTGGTCGATAAGAGGGTATTATTGACGCAATGGGGATTCCATTAATTGTAATGTTGCTTGGCGATGGCCGTGTGAGGCTCATCAGACTTGAAACTCGTTGACGAGTTTGTACAAATAAATTCCGTGCTCGTTTTTTACAGAACTCCTCCTGCATCCCAAAAAGAACGTGATTGAAACTTTAAAAGTACAATAATAAATAATAATAGTAAGTAGACTACATGTAGAAAGGAATGATTCGATTCAATCGAATGATGCAGCTGCCGGTATGATGCACAGCATGCGCTGTCTAACGCCTCTAACTCCTGCTCTGTCCGTGTGTCTTTAAATCTTTTTGAAAGCAAGGAACTGGACTTCAACTCTCTGGGTCCTTTAAGAAACAGAGGTCACGTGATGTTCCAACCAATTTGTCAATAGAACTGAAGATTCTCGGTTGGCTACCGCGGTACCTCCTGGACGCTGGAGTGAGCCCGTGAGCCCAAATCGCAACCAGCCCCAAGATGTAACGCAATAAAAGAGGGGCAGAAAATCTGCGGAGTAGGAGTGCTGAGTGCTGAGTGCCGGTACTCGGAGTACGGTACTAGTACTCCATAGTAAAGAGTGAGATTGTGGTAGCAGACGAGGATTTAACACCAAGTATCCATATATTTCCCTGCAACTTGCAATCGACTGAGGTTTCAGTTAAAAAGTTGCAGTTGACAGTTGCCAATTAATTTGCCGATGTTGTTGTACTGTTTTGGATGTTCCAGAAAGCATTGCTGGCAAAAAGAAAAACAGGAACACGAGCAATCTTGCATTGCCAAAGCAAAACAGGAACAAAAGATCGGGGGTTCGATTCGGCAACTCAAAACCAAAACATTGCACAATTCAAAACCAAACATCGCATAATTTCGAGTTTCCAGCCAAGAATTCGTTTTCGAGTTTCATCCACACCGCAACCCACGAAAACCTTCACCATGGACTTGACCAAAACGCAACCTCAACGCCGAAGCTCCAAGGAATGGGCAACCGTCTATGCGCAACCCTTCTTCTATGGTGCCATCACTCGTTTGCCCTTCATCTACTTTGTGATCCACATGCGTTTTGCATTCGGATTGGATTGGAACTTGGTTGGTATTTTCGTTGGCTGTTACCAAGCAGCACGTGTTGTCACCAGCATTGCATCCATCTTTCGGCCAGGAGCTGCCCATGCCATCGGGACAGCCGTTGGATTGGCCGGCAACCTTCTTGTCATTGGGTCCAGCAAGGACAATCAAACCAACATCATCATTGGAACCATTCTGGTTGGATCTTCTGAGACCCTTGCTGCCATGCAGACCTATGTGAAACAACAATTTGGAGGTTCCTTGAACCAACTTGAGTTCAAGCTGAAGGTGCAATATGCTGCTGTTATGGTTGGAGTGACATTTGCCTTTGCCTTTGGTGGATTCATCTATGACCACTTTGGTATTGATGGAGTTGCAACCTTCGGTGCCATCATGTCAGTGTCAGAACTTCTCTCCCTTGCCTGGTATTGGTTCCCTGAATGTGGAGGACAAGCGGAGCCGCTGGATGAAACTGCACACGATGACAGTGGTCACACTGACTCGCCTCCCCAAGATGGTGAGGAAGGCACCTTGAGCTCTGGTTCCTCGGACAAAGAGGATGATCCCATCACGCAGGCCCTTGATAGCTACTCTGAGTCGGGCATGGGTGCCAACTACCTCACCTATGCCCTTCTCGTCACATTTGGTATGGAGGCCATCACCATTGGATACAATCTTGCCGTCAGCCCTGTCTACATTACTGAAGTCTTCGAAATGAGCACAACTGTCATTGGTGGTCTCTTGGCAGCTGGTGCTGCCTTTGGAACCATCACTACCATGCTGATTGCTCTCCCCAAGCAAGGGCGTGTCTTGATGGAGAAGTGGTTGCCGTCTCCTCTGCACTTCCTGGTTGCGATGACTGGTATCTCTGTTGCTGTCTTGGTCGCTGCCACTCCTGTCTTCCCTGTTCACGTTGTTGGACTGCTGATGCTCATGGGCTTCAATGATCTGGCAGCTCTGCTTCTCAATGAGCTTCAAGGTTCCATCACAAGTTCCAAGGCCTACTCTACCATTGGTCCCATGGGACAGGTTGTTCGCCGTACTGGGAATGTGCTTACAGCCGTCTCCGGGCCCATCTTCTTTGGCATCTTTCCTCAGCTTCCCTACATTGTGGCAGGTTCCATCACTGCCATTTGGACCATCCTATTGACCATCATTATCCGACACCGTTCCAAGGACAATCAAGATATGTTGGACCACAGCAATCTGGATGCTTCTGTTTCATCATTCTATGCCAGCACGACATTTTCACGAAGGGAAATCATTGCCAGACAGGTCAAGAAAGGGCGCATTTTGCCAGATGAAGGAGAGGCCAATGACGACGAAGTGCTCATTTTTGAACCTGACTTTGTGTCCCAGGTTGTTACAGAATGCGAGTGCTGAAGACCCGCAAAGCTAAAAAAATCTCTCCCTCGAATAGAGTGCGTAAGTACACTTCCATCTAAACTTAAACTAGAAACGCTTGCATCGGTACTTTCCTTCTACACTACATTACATTACAACCGCCTTCTTCCGTTGGGCTCTGCGCTGCTTCCATTGGAAAGGGTGGGAGGATTGATGAGGGAAACAGCAGACCCTTCGTTCTTCCCACGGTGGCTTTCAGGATCTTGTAAGCGAGGGTAGGAACATGGACATGAAGGGGTTGGCGAAGCTTCCAAGGATAGGGATACCGTACCGGTAGATCCTGTGGTTCCGCGTACGGAAGTGCCATTGCTAACGAGAAAGCAACCACCACACCACCACCCCAAAAGCTGAGCAACAATGGTCGCGGTAGCATCTCCCAAACTGCGAAAGGAACAAGAAAGCAAGGAGTTGAAGATCTTTGTAGTGACAGTAACGGGGATTCTGCTGGTGCTGGCTGGGCTTTTCTTTGGTCTCTCTTTGGGAAAGAGAAGGCAGGGCTCAAGAAGCAGTGGTCAAGGTTTCAAGTTGCTGCCGACGCCATCAAAGACCGCCAGAGAGGAATGGCCTCCATTGTCAGCAGTCTATGACGGGCAAAAGGTGATTTCAGATCCACAGTTCCTGTTGGATTTTGCGATCATTGGGTTTGAAAAGAGTGGTTCTAGCACGTTTATGCAATGGCTGGGGGCGCATCCACAAGTTCAATGCTTCCAAGAAGAGATTTATGACCTTTATCAGAACAAAACGGGGGCCATGGTGTGGAGGCTCCACACACAGTTAAAGCCTGGTTTTGAATACAAGCGAGGCTACAAGAGCCCTGGGGATATCTTTCTGGCCAACACAATCCACCTTTTGGACGAATACTTTCCCAAGACAAGACTTATACTTTCACTTCGTCACCCAATTCTCTACGTAAGTTCCCTACATACTCGGTTTTCCCGATGAAAAAAGCCATCAAATGAATGTTGCCAATAACCGATACTGCGTTCCTTCTTCCTCATCTATTTTGCAGTACCAATCCATCTACAACTGTGAGTGCATCCTTGGAATTGGCGACCCCCCATTGCCAATTGCATGCTCACCCCCGGCTTGCCTGCCTCTTCTGCATGATTGTAATCAGTTCGAATTCAGAACCTTCCCAACCCAGACGATCCCTTTCACACACCATTGGAAGGAATTGGGGAATGCAAAAACACATATCCAGGATGTACGTATGGTTTGTTGCCATTCGTGTATGTTCATGTCGCTCGATCTCTAGCCCTCCTTACTGACAACTGCCTTCCATCATATCCTTTCCAGATGTTTGTACAAACCATGCCAATTATGCGCAATACATATACCGATTGGGAAAGACCCTGTCCCGATTTCCCACGGAAACCGAACAGGCCATTATAGACGAAAAACCACGGTCCGCCGCCAAGGCTCGGGTGACACGGAATCTCATCTTTGTGGTTGAAATCAGCCAGCTTAAAGACGACAATGCACTCCGCAGACAACAACTCAAGGAGGATCTGAGAGACTTTTTGGGCTTGGACAGTGATCTTCCGGACGAAATTCCAAAAGTGGTCCCTGGCAAAAAGTGGCCCGCGGATGTGCAGGCGATCAAAGACAAGCGCAAAATGAACATTTGCGAAGATCAATACATTCCTTTGAGAGAGGACATCATGAGAGTGTCGAAACAGACGGCAACCTGGATCTTGGAAAGCTTTATCCAGTCGGACGATGTCTTTGTGTCAACTCCCGAGTTCTTCGAACAATCCATAAAGAAATGGATGGAGGATCCTTGCGAAACCAAGACGCTGAGGGCCGCTTCGAAATAATCGGCATCTGTAACCTAGAAATCTAAACGTAGTCTCGGAGTGATCCCGTGGGGATGGGATGGTAATTCGGTTCGCCCAAAACAGCACCATTCGGTGGTTTTGTCATGGAATCACACTCAAGCGGGTCCCGCCCGTCTTCAGAAGCAACTCTGTCGTAGCTGAGCCGTGCTGTTGTCTACTAACGACTGCCGAAAGCCGAGTCTCGGTCTGTCGTTGGTCAATTTAGACGTTTACTACCTGTATGACATAGTAGCTACCAGCTGTAAGACTGGTTCCATTGCTCAAGACAGGTTTCATCCAAAAAGCAGGCTAAGAACACAGCAAAATGAAAGCAGGATTTGTCAGAATAAATAAATATTTGAAACTTTGAAAACTGCTTGGAGGAACATCTGCGAAATGGGGTATTTTGTGATTTTATTGAAATTAAACCTACCCCAGATCCATAAAACAACAGGTTACAATGGAACCAGTCTTCTGGCTGGTAGGTAGGTCTGAGCAACCGTACCGGTACCTATATGTCCGTGCAAAGTTAGCTATTAGTGGCCCACGGCCCACTCAGTGAGGCAGCGCACAATCGGGTGGGCGGAAAGGCTAGCTAGAAGGGCTTGCGCTAGCTAGCTAGTAGTAGTACCATGGTACCGGTAGGGTACAGTTCTGTACGAAGCAGCCAAACAAGCGATCCACACGTTAGCAATCGATTCCCACGCTCAAACACCACTCAAAGATCAATGCCCCACTGCATAATTGTACTTAAAAACTGATACTCCCAACTATTCCCCGACTCGAGCAAGACATGCATAGCTAGCTAGTACAGTCGTATGCAGCAGTGGACTGTGGTGGGTGGTGGCTACCGGTAGCTAATTAGGTGGGGTGGTCGGAGGACGACTGTCCACTCCACACCGAAGCCCTGCCAAAAGATTGTGTTTCCCGCCTTTCGCAAAGCTTGACATCGGGCTAAGAGAAGTAATCTGAGCAGCGGCCAAAGGATCTCTTCGCGTCATATTCAACGGTACCGTTCCTCCTCCAGTTCGAGACTCTCACAATAGACAACACAAAAGCAGCAAGACGATGGGAGAAGTCCCCACCGCCCCTTTCGCCCAGGCGAAGCCTCTGGATGACGCTGAAATCTTTGTCCAGGCGCGACCTGTTCCATTTGTCATGCCGACGACAGCGGCACCAGTCAACCCATTATGCGCGCCAACAACCACGAGCCTTCAGTCTTCAGGGCGCTCACCGTATCGGCTAATTGGAGATCACAGTGTGGCCCGGCTCAGAGGAGAAGGATACACCAACGGTAAGCCGCAGCTGCTTTTCTTTTTTTTTGCGAGGGTCCGTTGTCGTCATGCCAATGAGCATCCCCATTCCGTCGCTCCCACCAGGCCTGATCCAGACATTGGCAGAACTGAAGCAAACCGTGGCGAAGCAGGTATGAGAATTTTGAGTGCAATGGGGCAAGGCGGCCATGAAAGAAGGGCTGACATCTTGTGTTGTTTTCTTGCAACAGGTGTGGATCGTAGATGACTCGGGCTCTATGCTCTCCTATGATGGCAAGCTAATCCAAGGAGAAGGTCTTCCAAAGTTTACAAAGTGCACGCGTTGGGAAGAGCTACAGCAAACTGTCATTGAACACATCAAACTTGCAGGAGCCCTGCAGCTCCCGACCAGCATTCGGGTGAGTTGGCTGCTTTGTCCGCCTTGTCCGTGGTGTTCCTGGAAATGCTAACCTACCCTGTAGCTTTTGAACCGCAAGGAGAGAGACCTCAACATATGTCTGATACCTGGCAGCAATGTCGAGCATGACGTCGAGCACTGCGTGGACGTCTTGTGGAAGAGCGGGCCCAATGCTGGCACGCCCTTGAAGCGCCACATCGTGGAAGTTCGTCGTGACGTGGAGAACAGGAAAGGGGAGTTGGAGGCCGCGGGCAAGGTGGTCTCCATTGTCATCGCGACTGATGGTCTGCCCACGGATGCTTCCCACGAAGATTTTGTGGATGAGCTGAGGAGATTCAGAGACCTACCGGTGAGGATCGTCATCCGCCTGTGCACCGACGAGAACGATGTCGTGCAGTATTATAATGAGTTGGACAAAGAACTCGAGTACTCTGTCGATGTCATCGACGATTTCCGAGGAGAAGCGGTGGAAGTGGCAAAGATGAACCCATGGTTGAACTATGGGCTGCCGCTGCACCGCGTCCGAGAGATGGGGATGAAACACAGAGTCATTGACCTGTTAGATGAACGGGCTTTGTCCAAGAACGAGTACAAACTGGTGCGTACAAGGTGCAAGAGAACTAGCCAGCTGGGATTTGTTACCTCTTCCACTGACAGTTATGCGGCGCTTAACTCAACTTTCTCATCGTGGTTTCGGTCAATCGCAGCTGTGTTCGATTCTTTTCGGAGAGGAAGCCATGCTCCAAGCACCAAACCCGGCGAGAGAGTGGACAGCTTTCGTTGGCTATGTGGGCGCTCTGCAAAAGGAGGAACAACATCAGTGGGATCCCATCACAGCAACTGCAAAACCTTGGGTTGACTTTGGTGCTAGGAAAGGAAAATCCAAAGTCCTTAAGGCCAAGCGAATGGATGCCTCGGCTCCCCTGTTCGGTTGCTTTGGCTGGTGACAGCGTCCAAGCGGTACCGTACAACTGTACTAGTGGCTAGCCATGTGACAACTAGCTAGCGGTAATGTAAAAACTTGAAACAGAAACGAAGACCGTGAATATGTTGAAGGAGAATCTTAAAAGTTTTATGTAATATGACAAAGTATTTATGTTCAGCCTTGGGCCTGGGTGTAGCTCTGGAAGGAGGGAATTCGGATAGTGAAGCGGGAAGCTTGGAGGTTCTTGTAGGTATATCAAAAACGGGATCATTCCTTTGTGTGTCGTCTTGGAAGCGTGGAACATCTGGGAGGACCGGACAACCGAATGCTTCCTTAGCACTCGAATTCTGTTAGTGCGTCCCATGAAAAGGCAGGGTCTGCTAATGCGTCCCATGAAAAGATAGCGCTGGGAGATTCGTTTTCTGGTACGAAGACTATCTCCTCTTCGCCAGCCTTAACTGGCACAGCAGCCTCAACATCAACCTGAACAGACCCAGATGAGAACCGCCCCATCTTAACCTGCCTGGCAATGATTTCCCTTCTCGAAAATGTTGTGCTATGATAGAATGATGAAACAGACTTGTCGACAGGACTGTTTTCCAAGCGATCATGGGTGGCCTTGGAACGGTGTCGGATAATGAGACCCAATATGATGGTCCAGATGGCAGTGATGGAACCTGCCACAATGTAGGGAAGCTGAGGAAAGATGCCGAAGAAGATGGGACCAGAGACGGCTGTGAGGACATTTCCTGTACGCCGAACAACCTGCCCCAAGGGACCAATGGTAGAGTAGGCCTTGGAACTTGTGATGGAACCTTGAAGCTCATTAAGAAGCAGAGCTGCCAGATCATTGAAGCCCATGAGCATCAGCAGACCAACAACGTGAACAGGGAAGACAGGAGTGGCAGCCACCAAGACGGCAACCGAGATACCTGTCATAGCTACCATGAAGCCAATGGGAGATGGCAACCACTTCTCCATTAAGGCACGTCCTTGCTTGGGGAGAGCAATCAGCATGGTTGTGATGGTTCCAAAGGCAGCACCTGCTGCCATGAGACCACCAATAACAGTGGTGCTCATCTCAAAGACTTCAGTAATGTAGACAGGGCTGACGGCAAGATTGTATCCAATGGTGATGGCCTCCATACCAAAGGTGACAAGAAGGGCATAGGTGAGGTAGTTAGCACCCATACCCGACTCAGAGTAACTGTCAAGGGCCTCTGTGATGGGATCACCCTCTGTATCCTTTGCAGCCAAAGAAGAAGAAGACGGCGACGCCTTTGCAATGGGACGACCCTCCTCGTCCCTTGCAGCCGAAGAAGACGAGTCCGAAGCGTCCGACGACATACTGCCCAAGGAAGCTTGGGTACTCTGGGCGTGCGCATCAGCATTGGTGGATTCGCTGGGGCATTCCCGGATTTTCTGGCTTTTCCGGCTTTCGTTAGACTGTTCCTGGCTTTGCTGTTGATCCCTGCGTTCCAGGATCCAATAACAGACAATGGAGATGAGTTCTGATAAGGACATGATGGCACCAAAGGTTGCAACTCCGTTGATTCCAAAGTGATCATAGATGAATCCACCAAAGGAGAAGGCAAATGTCACTCCAACCATGACAGCTGCATATTGCACCTTCAGTTTGAACTCAAGCTGGTTCAAGGAACCTCCAAACTGTCGTTTCACATAGGTTTGCATGGCAGAAAGGGTTTCAGAAGATCCAACCAGAATGGTTCCAATGATGATGTTGGTTTGGTTGTCCGTGCTAGATGCAATGACAAGAAGGTTGCCGGCCAATCCAACAGCTGTCCCGATGGCATGGGCAGCTCCTGGCCGAAAGATGGATGCAATACTGGTGACAACACGTGCTGCTTGATAACAGCCAACGAAAATACCAACCAAGTTCCAATCCAATCCGAATGCAAAACGCATGTGGATCACAAAGTAGATGAAGGGCAAACGAGTGATGGCACCATAGAAGAAGGGTTGCGCATAGACAGATGCATACTCTTTGGCCCTGCTAGGAGGGCCATGGTTTGGGGTTGGCTGCAGATGCTGAGAGCTCATGTTGTCAAATAATGCGGTTCTGATTGGGAGGTGATGAGTTTGGGCAAAGTGACAAATTTGTGGGGAAAGTGATCAAAGTGTGCTCTGGGCGGACCATCCACCAAGTGATGGAGCGGCTATGACCTTCGATGCAAAGAAGGTGCAAGATCTTTGGCGGTCTTGTGGCTGCTGTTCTCTCCTGTTTGGTACCTGTACCGGTATTTATTTGACAGTTTTTTGCTTCCCTTTGGTCTCGAAATGACTACAGTATGACTCAAGGTATGACTGTTGCAGAGCTGTTACAGCCAAACTCGTAAAAATCAGCTTTACAAAATGCAATGTTAACTCGCTACTCCTCCCTCGAATTTTAAAATGGTCATGATGACTCCCACTTTCCAACCCAGTCGAAGACCCAACAAGCAAACACAAAGTGGCGGAGTGCTGGGTTAGCCACCGAATGCAAAGTGTTCTATGGTGTTCAGCAGTGTTCTGATTGTACTAGCTAGCTAGCTAGACTAGTACTGCAGAACGCTGAACTGCTGAACATGGATACGGTGAGGTGCTGTCGCGGCACGGCAGCGCATCCGACACTACTTACTTGTTCGGAGTTTCTTGGCCATTGCCAAGAGTTCCAAGTGGTCAAACTTATTGGACAGGCTAAGGGCGTGAGCATCAATGTTGTGAGATTTACAACCGATTTGGGCTCTTTAAATCCTTGGAACTTGCGGAAAACGTGAGGAGCGGACCACCAAACACCAAACAACTGCTACAGTAGCTCATCTACTCCAGCTGCCCACTCAGAGTTTACTGTTTACCGTTGTCCTGGGAGTATCCTGAGTGGAGGTGTGGTCAGCTAAGAATACAGGGGAGGACTAAATAGCAGGGATTAGACCGTGACGCACTTTTTATTGTTATCGGCAGTCTTGTGCAGCTTTCTGGGTCCGAATTGTTTGACCAGTGGCTGCGTGTTTTTGCGGTCGGGTTGCAGTTTTTGCAATGACTTAATGACTTTGCTTCGGCTTCAACCTTCCACATAGCTCCACATTCGGAGAAGGGAGGGGCAGGAAACAAGGAAGCCAGTCCTTGGATGCTGGGTTGGCTCAGGCCTTGTCCAGCACAGGAACCTCATCATTGTCAATTTTTTAAATTGTCCACTGTTCTCCCATCTACCGTAGTAGCCTGTCGGTTTTACGATATTACGTTAACAGTTTTACATGACATAGAACTTTTCTTAGTCATAAAAAGTCCCTATGATAAATCACATGAAGTCACCAGGGCCATTCTAGAACGTTCATGTCGAATAATGGATCTCCACTGGTTACTGGTACCACCCACTGATGACTGCCGGCGGCTGTTGGCTGTCTAAAATCTATCTGGTATCTTGTATCTTGTATGGATCTTGGCTACCCGCACTAGACTACCGGTACTCCAGAAGCAGCTACAGTAGCTACTGGTAGGCATCGGAAGGTGATGGGTGATATGTCTGCGTCCGGTTGTTACTACATGTAGTACATCGATCATCGATCGAGGAGAAAATCGGGATCGGCGGCAAGTGACTACATGCATCTAGCTACTACACTGTAGGCTACAAAGCATGTGACCATCATCTGTCAGCAATTTTGCGTGGCACCTATTAAAATAGCTAGTTAGAGATGCATATCTCCGTTGCAAGGCAGAGATGTCGATTGTCGCCAGTCGCCCCAGCAACAGACCAGTCACACCCTTCTTGGGGTTACGTACCACAGAAAAGGTACTACCTGGATCGATAGTTACCACGCGGATCGTCGATAGACTGGAAGACTAGCTAGTAGCTAGTAGTATCAGTATCACCCTCGACTTCTTTGTCCAGTCTCGGCTCCTTTTCGCCTTTAGAGGGTACAGTAGCTGTAGTTAGTTAAATCGTTGGAAAGTGGGTCGGCCCTGGCGCAGTTCGGTTCGGAATTCGTTTTTTCTGGAGAGTTGACACTGGCTACTAGTATCCAGCCAGGGTTCACCATTAACGTACTTTGAAGCTGCCAGCTACAGCAACAGTTCACTTGCATCGGTTTCAGTATTCCCTCAATCGGCAATGCTGCTTTCTTCATTTACAGTACCGTTCTTTATCTTGGCACGATGTTATGCGATCCATCGGCCTCACTCATCGTAGCGTTCATCCACAGCAAGAACGTCCAGTGAACTTCGCTCACGTTTCTATCCACTGGACAACAAAGTGTTCCCTTCCTCGGGGTTGCTGTCTTGGATGCGAGTTTGCTCGAACCTCGGCGATCCTCGGCGATCCTCCGATCATTTGAAGGAGAAGAGTTTGAAGCAAAATACACGAAGCCATCCTTGCTCTTGGTAGACTTCTTGGTCGTTGCGATCGAAGCGAATTTGTCGTCCATGGAACATCCAACTGGACAGCTCTGCCATCGTACCGCCCCCGATAGAAGGCGGCGTCGTCGGCACTGCCAGGGTGTTCTATTCGACGTGACAATTTGCATTGGCTTTGCGGCCAGAGAAGCAAGCAAGCGATGACCGATGTGCAATTTCTTGAAGCAGTTGTCGGGCCGTCCTGCCTCTTCGTCAGGCCCATGCCTGCCGCACCGAGACCAAGCAAAACGTTTCTGCTGTAATTCCGGTACGTTGCTTGCTACACTTTAATGGTCAAGTGCTGCACCTCATTACAGTAGCTTGAGGAGGGGCTTCGCCCGAGGCTTCCTCGCGGGGCTAATGGGCCAAGGGGATCTCGGTTCGTTCGTTGCTTTGCTCGTGGCCATCAGAGGTGCGTTGCCGTCCAGACTACCGGTACGAGGCCACCACAGGAGCTCTCTGTGCTGGGCCGCCATTCGTCGCCACGCGAGATCACGCTCTTTGTTGATAACCTCTACGAGATAACCTCTACGAGATGCATCCTACTAGCTAGGGGCTGAGCCACACGACCGCTGCTGAAATAAGTAGGTCTAAATGTCGTATGCGTAGTGTTTAAAATATGGCTTGATTGCTGCTCTCCAAAGCACTCCTGCATTTCGTGTAGTGGCTTGGGCTTTCTAGGCCGGCATCCAGTTTGGCTCTTTTAGGCTGCCTTCTCTTTAGGTTCCTTATTAGTGTTGTTGGCTTCGGACTCTAGCTCTGTTCCGTACAGTTCGACAATCAAGTCTTTGTAGGTTTCTTGGACCTTGTGTCTGCGGATACTCATCTTGGGCGTCAACATGTCATTGGCAACTGTAAAGGGGGACACAAAGGCGAACTTGGTGGGAATCTCAAACTTCTTGAGGTTGTAGCAACTCATTTGAATCTCGGCATCAATCAACTCTTTGACTCGTTCGTCATTGGCAAGTTCTTCCTCGGTGACTTCGGGGCTCACTTGGAATTCCGTTCGTAACGCCTCCCATTCCGGAACAATCAATACAACATTGTGAGGCCTGTTTGCTCCTACCAACACAACTTGTGTGATGAACCGACTCATGCCAATAGCCTCTTCGATTGGCGTTGGCACAACGTATTTGCCATTCTCCAATTTGTATTGTTCCTTGATACGACCCGTGACCTTGACAAAACCGTCCTCGGTGAATTGTCCCATGTCCCCAGTGTGGAACCTGCAACAAGCAAAAACAAAAAGACGTGGAATGAAGGCAATGAGAATGGCAATGACATCGAGCGGTCCGTAGTTCCGTAGCAGCTATAGTTGGCGCTCCCAACAACCCAAAATACTTACATTCGTGACACACCGTCAGGGGCGACCGAGATGACTTCGTTGGTAGCCTCAGGATTGTTGTAGTATCCCTTCATAATGTTGGGGCCGGTGCAGCAAATTTCTCCGTCTTGTCCAGGACCCAACTCCTTTCCATCGTCACCCATAATGTGGACTTTCACATCACCAATAGGTCGCCCAACCGCACCGACGAAACGTTGTTCTGGAGAGTTGATGGTGATAATGGGGGAAGTTTCGGTCAATCCGTATCCCTCCAACACCATGATCCCCAAGGAATCCATAAACTTGATGACTTCGGCGGGACATGCCGCACCAGCGACAAAGGCATGCTTCAAGTTTCCACCAAATCGAGCCCGAATTTTGGACAGGACAATGGAATCGAGTGCCTTGAAGGTCAAATTTTCCATAAAACCCAAAGCAGGTCCTCTTCCTTGTTGGTAAGCGGCATTTTTGCTTCCCAATTCCAATGCTCGTTGCATCAAGTATTTGCGGCGAGGATTGGCGGTTTCCATGACATTGTTGACTCCATCATAGACCTTTTTGTAAAGAGTGGGGACGGCAAAGAGGGCAGAAGGCTTGACATGCTGAAGATCTTCCAAGATGAAAGGGACACCACGACAAATTCCAGCCGAGCATCCATGGGCAATTCCCAACCAAAGTTCACAGGTTTGTCCATAGGAATGAGCCCAAGGGAGAAATGCGAGAGATCGATCGTGGGGATTGATAAAGTCGTGAGGATTCTCAACCATGGTTCTGGCAGCTCCAATGACATTGGTGGATATATTGTTGTGGGTCAATTCGACGCCCTTGGGTTTTCCAGTGGTACCCGAAGTGTAGATGAGGGACGCCAAATCGTCGACCGTAGGTTCCAGAATGAGCTTTCCTTCGGCATCTTCTGTTGCAGCAGCCATGGCGGTAGCAAAGGCATGAGGTTCTCCTTCGGGGGCATCCAAGCACATGGTGGTTTGGAGTGTGGGAGCACTGGGAGCCACATCCTTTTTGACACTGTCGTAGATTTCTTGGGTAGCACAAAAGAGTACCTTGGCTTGACTGTCATTGACAATGTACGACCAGTCCGAGGGTAGCTGAGCCTCGTACATGGGCACAATTCCAGCCGTCAAAGAGTAGGCAGCACAGGCAATAGCAGCCCATTCCCAACGGTTATTGGCAATTAAAGCCACCTTGTCACCAGGGCCAACGCCTGTAGCCATAGCAAAGCATAGATGAGGAAGAAAAAAGGGAAGATTAGAAAACATGAAGAAGCGACACAATAGACAAATGCTACCCAAAAGAGCTGTGCAGCTTTCTCCCCAAGATAATGGATTTTAAAATGTATAATGTACTCACCCAAATCCTTCAAGACATGACGAGCCAAGTCGACTTGTTGTCCAAAATCCCGATAGGTGGAAAACTCGAATTTCTCCGTTTCGTCACTGTAGACACCATACAAGTCTCGGTCGGCAAAAATTTGACAGGCTCGTACTTGATTCTCGTGCAAAGTCTTGAATTGCGTCAAACCACGTTCGTCCAACCATCCCTTGTCGTAGAATTTCTGTTCGTGCTCTGAAAGTACATAGTCATTGCTGCTGCCACTGAAGGAACGCGTGGGGGCAATGGCAGCCAAACTAGAGCGAGAAGGACGCAACAAACGGCGGAGTGTCAACGTGCGAAGGGTAGTGGATGCCATGGTTTTTTATAGTAGCAAAGGAATGTGATGGGTGGGGGCTGGGACAGGTAGGTAATGGATTTTGTGTGGGGTATCCGGTTGTGAGAAACTTATGAGGAAAGAAAGAAAACAATCCTCAAGAGAAACAAACAAACGGGCTCTGCTGCTTTAGTATCTTTGTGTGATGCTTTTGCAAGAGTCAAGTGATGACAAGAAGGTTCTCTGAGCTATCAATAGGCACTTTTCAAAGCCAAAAGTGAGATCCTAGCTAGAGTGGTGGTGATGGGTCGGAAGCTTTTTGGTTTGCCATCAATCTTGTGGACGGCGGTGTCAAGCTGCGAAGGCGACAAGATTTTCTCTCGAAAATGGACGAGTTGATGCCAAAAAAGCAAGGATGAAAATGCTACCGTGTAGAGGAGACATATCTGTGATTCTTAAAATGTAAAATTGTAATTTTAACTGAAGCATTGGAAAAACTATGAAATATTTGCCACAAGCGAGCTTCCTTTTTGACATCTTTGAGTCATGTATTGATTCAATTGTATTTCTATCAATAGCAAACAACTGGTAAGTTGTCATCCTTTTTTCCGACGCGTCAGTGAGGCGCATCACGAGGTTGAAGCGGGGCATATGATCCCTGTCCCTGCTTCCATCCGCGTTCTGACACCCCATTCGTGACAACTGCCCGTAGAAATGTACTTGCAAGCATCTGGGACTGGTCCACTCGTCGAAAGACTGCCAAAGTCGTGATTAAAAAGATCTGCATGTGTTTGTTGCATTTTTATTGGGCTCGGAACCGCAAGAGACACAACCAACAACCAACTCCCGAGTCGAGTCCGTAAACTTACTTATTAGTTCAGTCACCTTTTTGCTAAAATCGTATGAAGAAAACAACTCCATGTTTTTCGTCGTTAGGTTTCGTGACGGTTGAGTGAGACACAACATAAATTCCAAGCTCACAACTCCAACATCTTATTTTTCGTCGTTGACCTTCAATCTGCTGGATACGGTAGCTCACAACTCCATTCATTATTTTTCGTCGTTTGACTTTCAATCTGTTGGATTGTTGTTCCACAAAAGCATTGCTTCAGCGCAGATACAAGAAGATCGGCACTGATCAGTAGGAAGACATGATGTTTGAGGTGGTGATACTGAAAGAGCAGCGGGATCCTCCAGAGTGGGAGATACTGGAACGGTGGGAGCCACCATCCCTGGACGAGGTTCAGGCCATTGGTGAAAGCGATCCTGAGGTTTGGAAAAGCATTGGCGAAGATTCTTTTAAAGAGTATGGTTCTCCCCTCCTGACACTCCTCAACCACGGCTGATGGTCACGTCAAGCATCAGATGAAAGAGTGGTTCCTCTTGACGTAGTTGCTTATCTGGCAGATCAATGGCCAGAGAGTGTTCACATGGAGGATTGGCACGGTCGTATACCTCTTCTCCTGGCACTATCCTTTCACAGAGATGAAATAGTGGATTTTTTCTTGAACCGATGGCCCGAGAGCGTCCATTTCAAAATTGCAAGTACGGAGAACTCCCCATCCACATCGCCTGCTTTGGGAGCTGTAGCCTCCAGCGCATTCAGAAACTACTGAGGCTGAATCCCAAAAGCATCCGTGTGCCTACGGAGACTTCCTGGCTGCCGTTGCACGCCGTGGTGGCCAGTGGCCACTCCTTTGAGACTATCAAGTTCCTCTACGAGGAATATCCAGATGCCATCCGCATGCGTTCAAGGGGTGGCTATCTGCCATTTCACTCAGCGGTGGCCAATGGCCACTCCTTTGAGACTATCAAGTTCCTCTATGAGGAATATCCAGATGCCATACGAGTACCGGTACTGAGCAAACAGGGTGGTTTCCCGATTCACATATTGTCTCTATCCGAGTGGAGCAAAGATCCCATTATTCAGTTCCTGGTAAAGGCCGACCCGGCAGCCCTGAAAGAGAAAGAGCCAGAGAAGGGTAATCTACCAATCCATCTTGCTTTGAAGGGACACACCTCTTATGAAACAATTCAGCTGATGACCGACCTATATGAAAACAGCTTGAAGATTGGAAATGGGGAAGGAGACTTGCCACTTTACGTTGCATTGAATAACGGTCACTGCGCCAAGACGGTAGAATGGTTGGTCCAAAAGACGCCGCATTCATGTGTAAAGCAGCTTCGTCTTGTCCTTTGTCTATTTCCAAACAGGATCAACAACGACATCAATTTCAGCATTCTCTGTCTGTTGGCTCGCGATTTCCCGTTTCTTGCTGAGAATGATTTGGGGCGATATGGAGAGCTAGGTCTACTATTGCATATCGTTTGCAGAAACGTTGCATCTGAGAGCCCATCCAGCCAATGGAAGGATGCATTGCAGTGAGTCATAGATATCAATCCGAAGGCTCTATTTGTAAAGTGCAAGGGACATCAGCCTAAAGATGATTTTAAGACGCTGCTGAGAAAGAGACGACAGAGAAGGATCAGGTAGACAAAGATCGAGGAGAAGAATTCTGGCTGGACCCCTCTAGAGTATGTGGTGTATCTCCGGAAAGTGACAGTTGCCAATGCCGGGAGCCAATCGAACCCTAGCGTTGCTGATGATTCGGCGAAAGAAATCCTAACTGCGGCGCAATCTTTGTTGGAAAGACGAATGAAAGAGGTTCTTGGGGATACACAAAAGCCTTTCCAAGTGCGCCTTGGTGTCCCTCAGGAGGTGGTTGAACTCATTTTGGACTTTGCCATCTAACAAGTAAGACTACCGGTACGGCATGCCGGTCCAGCCGGTCCACCTCGTGAACACGTCTTCACCGAATCAACCAAACGAAAGACCATTGATAAGTCTTCACCGAATCAACCAAACCAAGACCATTGATACAAGGGCTACCGGTATCTCCTTGCAGTCAAGAGTTAACCTCTGATCTTACTTTTAATTAAAATAGTCCTCGTATTTCGCCATGGAGTCTGTTGAAACGTCGCGTTCCATGAGGTAAGCGCATCACCACTTCTACCGATATTAATAGCTCTACTGCTTCCAGTACGTACGGTACCGGTACCGGTACGGTAGTCCTTGACTAGCACCAATTGAGTGGTTGTGCGTAGTCGCCACATCTTCTAGTGTTTCTTTGTGTACCCGTGTACGGTTGCGTTTCCTCTTCGCCGATCGACGAGCTACCCTCATCCTGTTGAAACGAACGATATTTTGTTCCCCAACACTTCATGGTTAGACTCGAGTGTGGCCTATCGCATTCGGCGTAACGTGAGGTTGCTGTTCTGGTGCTGCATTTCCATTCCTCCACTGACGAGAGGAAGCCCCCAATGGCACACGTGCACTGATTGAACCCTCAGAGTTACAAGTCAATAACGGGAAGACCGCGATACGTCGTTCGGTCGTTCGGTGGCATCCCCTACCTGGTATCCGCGAAAAGCAACGGAGGATCAATGACAATGTCGTGCGTCTTGACGATGCTGCTCCTCTCGGTTTAGCCTACTAGAAGGAAGGCGACGAAAACACATACGATCAACGACACTGACTGCACAATCCAGTGAGCGGTGACACCGCCAAGTAGTGTACCGGTACAGGGACGAGGGTCCTTCTAGCCAGCACGAATATGAGTAAAAGTGAACAGAGCATCTGTTGCCACGTTGCGAACATACGCCGCTCTTCTCGGTTACCCCAGACGGAAGACGACGAAAACACCAATACGATCACTGACTGCAATGTACAATCCCGTGAGCGTGAGCGGTGACACCGCCAAGTGTACAGGGAGGGTCCTGGTAGCCAGCACAGGGCATCTGTTGCCACGAACATACAAGCCTTCCAGAACGGCACCTTGAAAAAACAAAGAACCAAGGCAACGCATAAGTTCGTGGAAATGTAGGTTATTATGAAAACGAGCCCATCTAGTTGGACCAGTATGAAATATGCGTGGTTTCCCGTAGGTAGTTCTCCCTTCGGCAACAACAGAGGGACCTGATGCTTCAATTATTCTGAAGCGCCTCTTCTGCTTGGATATGGCGCCCCAAAATATAACATCATTCCCTCCTTATAGGTTGAAGCGGTGCTTTCGAGTTGATTTTGCGGTTGCCGTCTGAAGTCGCTTTGGATTCTCCATTATTTGGCCATCCGTTGTTCGCCTGCGTTTCATGCCAACAGACTTTACCACGGATGATGATGACGTCGTAAAGAAACGATCGGGTAGTTCATTGAACAACCAAAATGCCAACGACAAGCAGTCTGGCAGCTCCCACATGGATTCCAGAATCTCCAGGCATTCCCAAGTAGTTTTCTGTGCCAGATCTGCTGAAAAGAGTAACTTGCGATGCGTGTTTCGTTGCATGACTCCTTCCACCAAACGCTCAAAGGATGCAGTGGTGACTGGAAACGGCAACAGTTCGCGATCGTTGTCATATCGACCTCCCGCAAGCAAGAGCTGTTCCAAGCTCCAATTGGAAGCAAACGCATCTGCCAAATTTTCGTGTAGGCGCGGTGGGGATTCATTGTTCGATAGACGAATCTCCAGATCCTTCAGTGTCGTAATGTCCGCGAGACACTCAATCATGGAGTCAAAGACGTGTGTGTTGGGTTGCGAAAAGGGAGACAGTAATCGTAGACTATCCAGTCCATTCGCATTCTCTTTGAGCGCGGCAAAGATCCCTGCTTCTACAGCAACTTCCGTGCCATCACGACAATTGGCCCACGTCAACATGCGCAGCTGACAGGCTGGATAGGTGATGAGACCGATCAAGCAATCCAGATCGGCCTCTTCAAACTGACACCAACAAAGCTCCAAGGCTGTCAGATTGCGAGTACTCATGGCGGATCCCAATGCCGACCCCAAGATGCAAAAGATGTCTTCTCCAGTCGTGATTTTGAGACTGGACAGCGAACACTTTTGGATGCCGTTCTCGATGAATTGTGTATGCGTATCAATTTCATCAATGAGGAGTCCTAGTGCTTCCAGCGACGGACATTCCAAGAGACTCTGGATATGTTCTCCTTCGGCATTCTCCATGCCATCAATAAAGTCCAAGTGTTGTATCCGCAACCAGTTGGAAGTGATGGCATTGACGAGCTTGACAATGGCGTGTCGGTCAAACTTGCATTCTTCAAAACTGATTTTTGTGGTAGTGTGGCTTTGCATGAGACCCCACAGTAGTCCATCAATAATGGAGCATCCCAAGGCTTCCGAGTGCCGGAAATCGAGTTCTCCCATGACCAGTCTGGAAAGGGAGGAATTCTTGGATGCCAAAAAGGACGGAACGGCTGCGTTCCATCCTTCAATGTGCAATTGCTGAATTTTGTTGGATTCGGGTGCTTGTAAGAGCTTTTCAAATGTATGCGGAAAGAACGGAGTTCCAGGAATGGGATTGTTTTGCCGCAACCGCAAAATCTCCATGTTGTGGTGTGACGGCCATGCTGGAGCGAGACCGTCGGAAATGTCAAACGTTGCAAACTCGCGAATGTGTTCGGGTACTTTGAATTGTGCCGGTTCATGCGCTAGAAAGTTGCCTTCAATCCGGATGCGTTGAATCGTCTTGTTGTGTTCGGCAGCCTGTAGCAGTTTTTGACCAATGTCACACGCGTTGCGTTCGACGTCTTCTTCGGCAATGATATTGAGGGTTGTCAAGGAGGGGTTCTTCGATACAAAGTCAAACAGACCCTTCAGACTCTCTATGGAAAAGTGAATGGTTTCATGGACATGGACTTTTAGGTATTTGATGGACTTGTTCCGCCTGAGGGCATCTCCTGCCAATTCGGCCGCCTGGGTGGATGTCAAAAGATCCAGATCCAACACGAGAGAAGTGGCAATGTTCTCGCAATTGCAGGCAATGTGACACAGCTTGCGGGCGAAATGGACACTGATGATGCCACTTTCATTCTCATTATTATTATTGTTGTGGCCGTCTTCATCCTCCGGGTCGTTGTCCGCCATCTTCTTGTTGTTCTTTAAAGTGAACGAAAAGCACTGGAATGGATGATGTCAACCAGAAGAATGAGATGAATGGATGACTGACGCAGCAGCAATAACAATGCAGAAAAAGAATAGAGAAGCGATTTAGTTTAGTTGAGCTAGTTTGAAATGATTTAAGCTAGTTGAAATTAACAAGCCAGCATGAGCTGTAAAGACCTCGAGGGCAAGATTTCTTCGAGAACAGAACGCAACCGCTCTCATCGTTCTTCCAATTCGCACTCCACAATGTCATCTTTTTATCGGACCCGGAACAACAGCCGAGCACAAAACAGTCAAGGATGGATATGCTGGGCAGAGTGCAAGTCATTTTCTGTGCAGAGAAAGCAGTAGCCATAGCAGTTGTATCATTTTCGGTGATTGTCATGGCTATCTTTTCGAGATTCAAGAGAAGAAAAAGTAAAAAGTTGATGGGGGGGAGCGTGAGGAGCATGGCTACTACTGCCATGTCTTCGTCCCTTACCCTCAGCAGTTCAGACTTGACGAAAGAAGGAGAAGAAGAGTCTCCTTGGCTGGTTGGAACGATCGTGGAAGGCACCAACGACTCGATTGAATGGAATTGGTTGCCACCTCAAAATGCTCTCTATTTTGCGCAATCCGCAACCACCACGGCCCACATTGTGTGGAATAGCGAAGGCGTCATGGAACATGTCTGCAGTGCTTCCTCCAACACGGACACGGCTGCAATCATGAAAGCCTACCAACAAGAATTTGGCGCCATGCAAAAGAGCGACAGCAGCATGAGCTCTACCATGACCGTCATTGACCGCACGCAAGTCAATGAGGAAGTGGAACAAGGCATGCTGCCTGCCGTGGCTCCTTATGCCTCCCAAACCACACAATATGCGCTTGTCAAAATCATGGAAATGATCTTTTATCGACAATCCGTTTCTTTTTTTGCGGCCGCGCCACTCCGCATGACATCCATCTATCACTTTGATACCGATGAAAATGTCGTTGCCCTGACGTTTGACGATGCCCCCTGTCGGTTTCCCACACGGGCCAATTCCTGCATGACACAGGTACTGGACCTGCTCCACAAATATGGCAATGCCAAGGCTACCTTTATGATTGTCGATTCGTTTGCCCGGCAAAAAGAACACGAACCAGATCTGATACGGGCATTGCAAGAAGGCCACGAGTTTGCCAATCACGGTCTGAAAGACGAAAGCTTCAAGAATTGTACACCCCAAGAGTTCTCTCACGCCGTGGACAAGTGCAATGCCACCATCAAAGAGTTGCAATCCAAAGCCAATCTACCAAACGATTCAAAAGAAGTAGCAGTTCCCTACTTTCGGGCACCTCACGCCTACTACACCAAAGAAATGGAAATTGTACTCCAGAGCAAGGGCATGCGCAATGTCATGTGCGATAGCTATGGAAGTTGTCCCATTGTACAAGATTCCAATGCCATTGCGGACCTGCTGTTACGGCAAGCCAAGGCGGGGTCCATTCTTCTCATTCACATGCCCGAGCGAGGGTTTCGTGGTTGGACATTGCCAGCGATTGAAATGGTCTTGCAGGGTTTGCAGAAACGAGGCACCAAGGTGGTCACATTGTCGCAGCTGCAAGAGATTTCCAAAAAGAATCCAGCAACCATGTTGGGCCAATTCAATCAAATGAAGCTTTTCTGATGTGTGTGGTTACATACATGTACTCGCTCAGTGCCACCAGTACAACAGTTCCGAGCAGTTGCTTCCGATTTCACGAAGCTCCTACAGCACCTTTGGGAGCCACACCGGTGCAATCAAACTGCTCCATTGCGCTATCTCGATAGTGTGACAGAGAGTCAACTCGCAACCAAGCTGATGGTGACGGGAACCCTGACTGACTTGATCATTCCGTTTGAACCAAGGATCCCATAGGCAACTAACTGATTCAGTATGCAATAAACCTTATCTTATTGTATAGAGTCAGATTCTTTTTAAATTCTATCAGTCAAACACAGACAAATACTGTAGCGCCACCAAGATTGCTAGCAGAATACAATCGGCACTACGGTACTAGTAGTTCAGAGGGACCCACAACAACGTAGTACAGTGCAGTATTTTCACAATGCCAAGGTTGAGATGGAACCCAGGCTCAATAGAAGGCTCAGCAGCCCGAATAATGAATAACCATGAAAGAAACTCAACTAACTTCTTCCAAACATGTACACTGCTATAACGTATCGGGAGTGTCGAATTCGTAACAGCGCCTGATGTTCTTTTCCATCCAACCATCGGACCACTGTGAGTTTTCAAAATCAAGCCTGGGAGACATTCAAGAAGCGACATGTTAGCAGGCACTCTTTACATTGGAATGAGCATGACACGCATTTTCTACCCTTACCAGGCTAGCACCATGACTCCGTCTTGATGCAAATGCATGTAGGGGCAATCATGGGTAAAAAGACAATCCACGTAGACAGTGTCTATATCATACGTCGACTTTAGCTCCCAGTGCAAGACCTTCTCTCTGATTTGGTAGTCCTCGGTTCGTTGGATCCTCCAAATGCGAAAATCAGCTTTTGTACTTAGGGTAAAGTAGTAGTCCAGGATCAAAGGTTCTGGAGTGGGCGACATACTAGGGGAAGAAGTTGGTGGATTGGTTGGGGGTAGAGTCGGCAATGGTGTTGGCCTTTGGGTTGGCGAGGCAGTGGGAGTTGCAGAAGGGGTCGTTGTTGAAGTGGGAGTTGCTGAAGGCGATGCTGATGGGGCAGGTCTCTCCACTATGGCACCTGCCGCAAACTCCACCAGCCCAGTTTCAGCTTCGACAATGCCGGTGAAGTTTCTGTCAGCGATTTGAACATGCAAGTCTTCCATGGTACAGCTGCGTATACAACACAGGAGTAGAAAGAAAGACATTCGAGTTAGAAGTGACAGAGTAATGCGAATATTCAGAGGAGGCAGTTTGGGAGGTCACTCACTTGAAGTGTATCATGGTAAGCGAAACGAACTTGTCGTGATCGTCGTCGTGACGGATCCATTGGACGCACTCGCCTCTATGGGTGGCAGTGTAGTTCTTAGACAGTTGATATTCGTGAATTTCTGCCGACTCGGACGGGTCGGTTGCATTCTTTTGGAATCGAAACTCGTAGAACTCTCTGTCAGTGTTGTCAGTAGAGGACTCTAGTTCTCGTTGCTTTTCTGGTTCGTCTTTCAGCTGACGCTGTCGTTTCTTTTGATCTTCCAGATACTGTCGGTGCCATTCGTTCCAGTAATAAGTCTTGACCTGGCCTGTCAAGGTATCCCTCCAGATGAGATTGGCAGTGTCGGGGTCAATCCCAAACATGTAACGTTGATCGACATCATCGGAACAAACGAACGAACCTGCAAAGAGATGATTGTTTTCTTCGAAATTTCCTTCATTGTCAAATCGATCTCGTCGACAACCCATTTGAGGGACTGTGGGAGCTGATGTCGGTGGGAGAGTCGTCGGATAAAAAGTTGGATGAGTTGTTGGGGAGTATGTTGGTTCTTCGGTCGGTTCGGATGTACCTTTGAGTACCCTGGATGGTGCAATAGTCGAGTGTTGTGCAAGGAAGATGTTGCCATTTTCCTTGTTGTCATTGTTGTTGTCGCTCCCCGACGATGGTGGCTCTGGAAGCACGTCATTGGCGATGTTCTTGCTGGTGCTCTCTCGGGCAGGCAACAACAGCACCACTGCAATAGCAACCCCTACAACAAGAGTCAAAGCGATCAATAAACAGATCCCAATCTTTTGTGCCCTTTTCAATCCTTGGTTGGAAGTTCTTCTCCTTCTCCCTCTTCGACTTGGCCTGTCCACCAGCGTTTCGGCATCTCCGGTTTGGGTAGCCTCTTCATCACGGACGTCGTTGTCAGTGTTTCTGTTTATCGGGATACGCTCCTCCTCTGCGGACATTGTCATGGGGTAAACAGACAATGAATGAAAACAAACTTCTGAAAGCACCAAGGTATGATTTTGTGGAACTCTCATCGATCTGATCGAAATTAGCCTTGACGGTCGCCGATATTGTGTTTGTACCTATGGGTTGTGTTCGTGGTGACGTGGGCCAAATTTTTGGATCCAAGATGCGGGAAATACTTCTTTGGAATCCTTTTGTAGTGTACGACAGAAAGCGCAGCTAAGACATTCCTCATGATTTTCCCGGTGCTTTTTCGAGCCACGAGCAATCCCGCCACTTGGACTATGTTGGCTGCAAGGCATGTGCTCTGACAGAAAACATTGTTACACGCTTTTCAAAGCTAATCTGGCCAACTTGTCCATCTGTTTACGTACATTGTACTCTCTCCTCAGTACATCAAAGAATGTTCTGGTTGTCGCAACCGTTTAGATATCTGTACCGGTACTAGTACCGGTATTGATGCAACCTGCCGTGGCGCCCATTTGCCACGGTACGGTGGCTAGTAGCAAGGCCAGCCAGCACATCATGCCAAGCCGGATTAGTTTGCTGCCCTCTCCAGAACCATTTGCAAGGATCCGGCTGTCACATTGACACGTGTAGCTTGAGATGCCCAACCCCAATTCTGGATAGACAGCTCGACAACAAAGCTACATGCATTCAATCCTAGCAGCGGTACGAAGAATGTGGTTGGATATAAAGTTTTTATTTATTTTAATAAAGCATCTATCATGCCTACCGGTAGAAGCCTGGCACAAGCAAAGCACACTCGCTACCGTACCTCTTTTAGTTAGTTGTTGCTAAAGTTGTAGACCTTCATAAAGTTGTGATTCTGCCAGTTGTCATTGCTTCCCACTTGCAAAGGGTTGCCAATGGTCATTCCAATCCAGTTGAGGACGCATGTCCCGCCTTGATGAACATGCAAATAGGGGCAATCATGATGAGGCAAGCACTTTTCCGACAGGGTTATCTTGTACTTGGGCTTCTTGGTCCATAGTTGGCTCCGGACAACTACGTCGGGATTGGTGTTGTTGACCACATTCATGACAAAGGTTCCATCTGTCCTCAAGGAAAAGAAATAATCAAACGGATGATCATCTGGGAGAGGCCGTTCCACACCGCCCTTGGGTGTGTAGGGATTTTGGAACAGAACTTGCGTGGTCGTTTTGTTGGGCTCAGTATCCTTCCAGAGCAAGTCACCCCCGGGTGAAACTCCAAATTGAAAGCGTCGTTCATCGTCGCGAGAACAAATGTACTGGCCTGGAAAGAGACGATTGTTCTCCGGATAGTTTTCATTGTCAAAGCGGTCAGTGAGGCAGCCCAGTTTCTCGCTTGGAGGCATGGTGACATGGACTGGATGTGGAGTGGGTGAAGGCGTGGGAGCTGGAGGAGACGTTACCATGGGTGGTGATACGTCCGCGGCACCACCATTGTTGGTACCAGAATTTTGGGGACTGTCGTCGATAATGGTCAAACCAGCGTCGGCCTGGGAAGCTTGATTCGTGTTCTTCTTCCCATGAGCGGAGACTGTTACCAGTGTGAAAATACCTGCCACTGCCAACACGGACAATCCAATCACTGTGTAGACGAGCCAACGAGGGTGCTTGCGGCTAGCCTCCCGCGATTCCATCTCATCGTGCGTCGGAGACATGACAGTGACGGTGTTCCCCATGTCCAAAGTCACTGGCGGCACAGCGTCGTCATGGTCGCTGCTATTTTGGGGGCTCAGGACCATGCCCCGTTCGCTAGTATCTGAGGTCATCATGGTGGAAATAGAACGTCCAAGTAAAGCACTACCGGTATCTACCAACAACAATTGATTAGAAGTGTAGAAGGGAACCGTCCTGCAGCACCAAGTCAGACTGAACAAAACGCACAGAAAAGTGGACGCTGCACCTTCAAAAAGTGAAGGACCGAGATTTGAATCTTCTATTTAGAGGAAAGTAGTTGTAAATTAACGGTTATAGGGTAAGCTGACACAGTTGTGAAAACACTAGCTTCCTCCTAAAACTTGAGAGAAAAATCTTTGGGCGGTTGGATGCAAAGCTTTGGCAGTGCTTTGCAAGAGCTTTTGCTAGGAATTGATTGAAGAGGTGTCGGTGGAGCATTTGGGGAGAAGGGGGGAACGAACCTCTAGAGCTCCTCTAGCTCCATTGTATTACTTATTCTCAAGGAGACTGATAGCTTGCATTAGAGCCTGTCATCAGTCCTTGCGTGAACAAAACCTAACTTACCAAAGTTGCCCTACGTTGAAATGGAGGCGGAGGAAAACAAAGACGGTGATGAGCTTCGTGCACCACCATCGCCCGATCTACTGGATCCTCCAGCATCAGATGAGGAAGTCGGTCGTCCTCCACCACATCTGCCCCATCTCGAGTATGATGAATTCTTAACGTTGTCTAAAGGTGAACCGTTGGAGGAGCCTGAGGAATTCCTTGATTACTTGCATCCACCATTTCGACTCGAGCCTTTCCCTCAACAGGATGGCGATCGCCTACTGCGAGATCCACCTTACAGAAGAGTCAGAATGGCGGAAGAAGACCCACTTCCCCTTCGGCCTGAACCACCACCTAACGTTATCAATGACGGAAGGCACGGACAGGAGGCTACCAGAAGAGATCCATCGCTACCCCAGCCCCCTCTTGATGGCACGGTGGGGTTTGCTGCGGACGAAGACATGGCAACGCTGGACGATCTCCTTGCAATCATAGAACGGCAACCAGAACCACCTCCCGATCCACCCGATGACATTTCAAGACGGAACGGAACTGATGCTGCTATTGCTCCGGCCAATAGACGCCCACCGGATCCTCCCCCTCACCACCAGCTCGTTCCTAGGAGATTGGACGAGCCACAGAGGAACCACGCAACTCATGCACAACAGGAAGAGACCGAGGTTCATCGTAGCGAGCCAGACCATTCAAACGTCGCAAGGTTGCCACCTGGTAGCTCCACACAGGTGGTATCTCATCATCAGTGGGACCCGGGGTCTACCAAAAGGAGACTGTCCACGAGAAAGAGAGACCGGACACCTGCGACCAGCGGTGACCACATCGACGATGACCGCAAGCCCCCGTCGAGACGAGGAAACGGGCAAACAACAACAAAGTCAACACCACTCCCTCGAACACTTGCGGAAGAATTGCAGTTGTTCGACCGCGAGCAATCGACGAAGTGGACTAGCTCGTGTACTTACCGGTACAGAGAATCAGCAGATTCAAAGTTGCCGGTGAGTCTGTTCGCTTGCGAAACTCACCTTTTTGTCTGTATTCGCTCACACGATTTGTCGAAAATGCCAATCAATGGGGTGGGGACAGGCGATGTCTTCTTCAACACAGAGTCAAGTCCCCCCGTCGGTGGCTGCGATGGCTGCAAGGCAAGAGAACGAAGAAACTACCAAATCGCACCCAGAGCGCGATCTACACGATTTATCCTTGGGCGTCACATTGGGCATATGTAGTCCAATGGGACGCCCGAGGTCATCCTGTAGAGACCGCGTTAGCGCGAACCAAGGGAAGCCCCATGTGCATTGGAATAGTAAACGAAAAGGCACTCGGTATAAGCGAAAGCTGCAATTTGCATGCTCTCAAACAACTTCTCAGCACTGGCAACGTCCGGGCTTCAGTGAGTCGCAACATTTTATTTACAAGGATCAAAAGTATACGAGAAATCTTGATAAAGAAATTGTTATTAAGCCTGAGACCAATGCTCTGTTGGCTAATGCCTCATTCGAGCAAGAGCCAATGCAACCTGAAGAGAATGAGAATAGCGATTCTGCCCAAGACGACCAACTAGAACAAGACAAAGCAGATACTTGCTAAGTCAACAAATGCAAGGGCGCTATCATCCTGGGCTGCGCTTCCCAACCAAACACACCTTGGTTCCACTCAAGCGAGATGAAACTTGACTTGAAAAACGAATATCCTGATGGTGCACAGCTGCTGCAACAGCATCAAGAAGTCCATGTCTGTGATGGGCACTAGCAAGCATCATACCAAAAGTGATGCCTTGCTTGGCTCACAACTGGACTGAAGCTGTCTTGCTTCTTTGCAAGCACCAAACCTGGAAGAAAAGAGTAGAACACTACCACAAAGATACTCACCAGCTTACATGCAAATGACATGCAAGCTTTGCAACATGTCTCTGATGTGATGAAAGACGGAAGCAACCACAGCAGTTGGTAAGTTGCACACCATTGGAAGCTCTCTGGCAAAACCACCTGTGCTGACTGCTGAGCTTGTCTAGCTAGGTTGCTCACCACCCAACACCTCAAAGAACCCATTCATCAAAGAGGCACCAAGCAAGACATCACTTTTGATGTGATGCTTGCTACTGCCCACCACAGACATGGACTTCTTGATGCTGTTGCAGCAGCTGTGCACCATCAGGATATTCGTTTTTCAAGTCAAGTTTCATCTCGCTTGATTGGAACCAGGGTGTAATGCCCTTCTAGTTGACTATTAGCTAGAGAGGGTCTCCCCACCAACCCTAATATAAGTAAGATTCACAAAGATCAACTTTCAGGAAGGGGTGACCATCTTCTTGTAGCTTGCTCCATTCAGTCGGTTCCTTTTTAGCTTACAGTTGCATTGTGACTAGCATACTGGTGGTGTGGTTAGCTCCTTCATATACACTGTGTGAATCCTTCTAGCCATGTTGCTTGCCCGGCCCAAAGGGAGCCAGGTTTCCAGGAACAGGATGGCTACCAGGCTCAACATTATTTGCTCCATCTTGGCACAGAGCCCATGAAATTGTCCGTGCACCTAAATTCAGGCTGCCGGAGGCATGAGCCCTCAACGAGTTTGTTTTTGATTGGCAGTGGCTAGGCAAGCCAGGCTAGCTGGCTGCAGCTGTAGACCTAGCTATCCAGCCATCTGTTTCTCTTTTGGTAGTCTACCTCTATCAGGGTTATGGCTAAAAACTGTGACACACAAACGGACAAACACACAAACATACAAATAGAATTCACAAGGGCCCTACATCCGTTGAGGGCTATTTGCACAGAACCGGTGCTAGCTAGAAAGGAAGTAACCAGGCACAACACCAACATGCCCAAATCCAAGAACAAGCGAAAGAAACCAAAGCTGCTGGCTCATGAGTTTGCGTTGCTGGATGACGGGGAGCTCTCGGATGTGACGCACCCCAATGCCTCGTTTAGATGGCTCTACTAGTATGCTGCCAGTACTGACGAGACAGGCCAAACAGACCTTGATGCAACCACCGGTATCCCTTCCCCAATCGCTGGCTTGTTTAAAGCAAAGATTTGAAAGCCCTAACATTAGTGTAATTCAATACCAGAGTTGCACCTTAACACCCACGACCCACGACTGCAGATCACTTCAACACTTCACGGCAGAATTCTGGGACAGAAGAGATAATGAGGGGTTGCCAAACCGACGATAAAGAAGGGGTTACGATAATCAAGAAGGGGTCAAGATCAACCTAGAATTTAACAACCGAAAGGCCAATTGCCATCTCATGTCCAGCCAACTCAGAATTAAGGAAAGGCAATTCTAAGTAGGATTTCGTTCTTAGCAATCGTAGTTTCTCCGAGGTGCACTGCGTGCCCCACAGAAATAGGCACGTGAGGTCTTGGAAGCCACTTGAACAAGAAAAATGGGTTTAAGCTTGTTTGCTATAAAAATTTAGGAATAGAGAACCCCTTTTATTAAGTCTACTAAAAATTGTGGATCACGGGAAATCGAACCTGGTGCCACTGGTGTCTTGGTGTCTTTATGTGACAATCAGCAATCACAGGTGTCGCAGTGTCGAAATAGCTGCAAATTGACAGAAAGCGTGAAAAGACCCGTGAAGCTACCAAGGTTTCAGTGATTTCATCGTTAGCTTCCAGGTCCTTTGAAATATTCATTTTCAGTATATCTTCAGTACCTCTGCATCCCTTCTTGAATGACCAAATTTTACCAAGATATTGACAACATTTTGTTCCTCCGACCTCCGACTCGTCATCAGCAACATCTTCTTTTGCAACAATTATCTAAACATTTCGCACGAATTGTGATACTATAGGAAATTGAGTAACAGGGTCACTGCTGTAGTTACTGTACCATGTAACCAGTTTAGCCACCAACAAGGCCTCCATCCAGCCGAACTCTGCGGCTCTGCTGCGTGCACGAGCAAGCAAGCTGGCTATTATTTAGCGTAGCAAATAATAGCAGCATCTAAAGCAGCAATCAGCTGACCCGATCTACTGTACGGTACCCATCCAGGGCTGAGCAATTTTCTGTTCGTGAGCAGCAGCTGCGCAGCACTCTTTTCTTTCTATCATTCCTTTGGTGGCAGCAATCCGAAGATTCTGCCTTCAAGCTTGCTTTTGGTTGTCCTCGTTGCAGAAACAAACGGCAAGAACAACACCAACGGCCAAGCACGATCACTTTGCCGGCAGTAGTAGCAAGAGTATACTTAGTTCTTTCGAGTAGCATCCATTTCCCATTCTTTTTGATACCTCTCCATAATATATATTATCTACCATGGCGATGATGACAGCGTCAGCACCGGTTGATATGGCCTGTATGGGCCGCGCACACCTGAACCGCTTGGCAGACCAAGATCAGGACCCTACCCTTCTGACGGGTATTACCTACCCTGGAAAGCACGGTACGTATTATCTGTTATCATACTGAGAGGATACCCCCATTATTTTGGGTACTGTAGTTATCAGTTCGGTCTACTCACAATTATGTTTGTTATCTTTCTCATTTCTTTCGCACGAACTATCATATTATTATCCTTGTTTGAAATTTGAATTATTTGGTTTTGGCGATAATATCTACAGACGTCATGCTGGGACGGGGCGGCGAATCGACGTATCACTGTGGCAACATTGCCTTTCGTCAATTGGTCGAAGACCACAAGAACCAGTACTACAATGCTCCTCGCGCACACAAGAGTCGCGTCGTGGCGGAAGTGGTCCGCAAATGGCGTCAATTGTCTCCTCCCGGACGCTTCTTGACACGTTCGGCTCCCTCCGAAGGCGACAAGTCGGCGTGGCACGATGTCGGGGATCGTCGCGCTTTAAAGAAAGCGTCGCACTCGTTGCGCGATGCCGTTCGTTGCTTTAGCATTGAAAAGAAACAACGAGAAAAGGAATTGCTCGAAATGGACAACAACGGACAACAACGCAATAAGCGGGGACGGGACGAAGAAGAAGAACCCGAGTACATGCCCTCCATGGCCGTCAAATCGCGAACCATGATGGGAGGTTTTGGCGGTGGCTACCAGCGTGATAATGGCAGAGAATTCATCATGTCGTCGTCGTCGCAACCCAAAAAGCCGTCTCTGATTATCCTGCCCGCGGCGGAAGAACGTCCCAACAAGATGCGCCGTGTGGTCTGTGATGAACGCGAAGAAGCAGAAGACGACTGCCGCCGCGAAGGAGGCGAAGAAGAGGATTGCCGCCGTGGTGGTGGCGACGATGACGAACGTTGCAGTGGAGAAGAACGGGATAGCTGTGCACGAGAAGACGATGGCGGCCGTTCGGATCGAGTTCCATGCTCGATTTTTGTAGAGCGCCAACCCGTGTTTAACTTTCCTTCTGCTGCTGCCCCTGCTCCCAAGCCTCTTTTTGCTGCCCCTGCTCCCAAGCCTCTTTTTGCCGATGCTCCCGTCGTCGTGTGCCCCAAGCAAGAGCAGCGATTGGCGGCCAATGCGTCTCCCTGTGGCAGTGCGGGATGGTTCACTTCTGGCATGGCGGACATGCCCGTGAAAGCAGCTCCGTCCTTTGTACTTCCAACCGCCGATTTCTTGGTCAAGGAGGTCTCTCCTGCTTCCCCCACGCCGCCTCAGCTAAACCTGGGCTCACTCAGTGACGAAGACAGCATGGGTTGGTTCTCCGAGTCGGAAGAAGACCCCACTTCCTTCTTCTCGGCCGCTCCTTCCTTTCACGTGTCTTTGCGCAAGCCTGTGGCCAGTCGAAACAACCGCACCACCACCAGTTCGGGCCGTGAGCTGTAACAGGTCCAAATAATATGTGATGAGAGGCGTTTTGGAAGCTGCCTGTACAAAGACAAGAATCCTCCATTTTTCCGATACATTCATTGGTTGCATCAATAACATTACGTAGGACTCTCTACGTTTCATCTTTTCGTCTCTAGTAATTACTAAGTAGTCTAGTCCGTTGCGATGGCTTTCTATATCCTTTTTGCTGTGTGTGTGGGTCAAAGAGAGAGGACAGGACATTGACTCTTGAGGCCCGGGCACCCTTTTTCGCCAATTCGGTTCTTGGATTGAGAACCCAGCTCCCTTCTCGTTGCAAAGAGATTAAAATGACAATCCAAACCAATAATTTTTTTTGTGCAAATGCTCCCTCTACCTGAAGACTCGCTAGCTACTGCCGTGAGATGCTATGAGTCTCTTGACTGGTTCGGGTATCGTATCTACTCGAAATCAATGGAAGGAGCAACAAGCACTGGTAGCTAGACTACCAAGATCTCCAAAACATAGATTTCTTGGCTAATGCTACAGAATTAAAAAGTGTTGTCCAATACTCTTGCCCTTGAGTTGGTACCGGTAGCTTCGTCAACCACCACCACCCCCCGCACCTTCACAGTGTTCTGACTGGCTAATACGTAGAAGTGATCTCGCTCCTCAATCATTAGGGTGACATGACTGCTCCTAACACACCTGAGAAACAATGGCTGGCTAGTTAGATGTCCAGACGGAATACAAGGCGAGCCACATCGAACTTCTGTATTGAAAGCCAAGCTAGCTGATCAAAAGCCAGCTCTATTGTTATTCTCTTTAGTGTTTTAAAAAATTGGCTTCTACTATTGGAAGGTTACACGTATGATTAGAATGGATGGCGAGTAATTCTTCTCGAGTGTCATGGACCGAGTGCAAAGTTGTCGACACCTCCCATTCATGCGGAGTTCTGTCTCTTGTATGGTGCACTGTCTTCTGCTGTCTCCTTCTGTTCATCCTCCTTCGAAAACCATGAATGCATGAGGTTGCCAGTACTGCGGAACAGCAATGCGATGGATTCGTTTGTTACGTGACGCTTCTTCACGAGAAACTTGTCAACGTCGACATCTGCTAGTCGAGTCGGAGGGCGTTTGGGAGATGCATGTTGGGGAGACTCCCATGTATAACCCAGTGGGGATTGGAAGGGAGCATCTGTTGTTGCGGTGGAGATGGGGCTTTTGGACATCTTGTTATGTGGGATTTGTTGCTTCTGTCTTCTGTCTTCTGTCTGTGTTTCTGTTTTTGTTCTTTGTTTTTCGTTTTTGTGACTGCTGTGAGATAAGATTGCTGTCGTCTAAAGAATCCCCACCAAAGAACCATCATCTAATGGTGCTTGCAGAGTTGGTGCTGTGTAATCACTGGCGATTGCTACAAGTTCAGGTGTCCAAGCGCTGCGTTCTGTGTTTGAAGGCAACCAGCAGCCGAAAATGTGATTGCGAACCTGTCGCATCGGCTTGCCAGTCACAAAAAGGTATCTGTGCTCCTCCGCTGCATCTCTCGATTAGGGATCAGCTGGAGGTTGGTTGTGCCAGTTAACCTCGGCAGGTAAACTGCCTGAGTTCTCAACCCCTTTAATGCTATTTCCTATTTCCTATTTCCTATTTCCTATTTCCTATTTCCTATTCCGGTGAAGCCAAAGTATAAGGATAGAGATAGTCATAAGCCAACAAAACTGAACATTGATGGTTCAATACAAGTTAGGGGTAGGAATAAATCATTAATATTTAAGGTTAGTGCAATCAGCACAACAGCACAATAAGCCAGCAGGAGTTGTAAAGGTTAGATGGCAGCTGGTAAATTATAGAGTAGCGGGCGGCAACACACGACGTAGTCGGGTGTTGTCGCCAGGGCTAGCTTAATAAAGAAGGTTGCAATGAGGGAATGAATAATACCGGGCGGCAACACACGACGTAGTCGGGTGTTGTCGCCAGGGCTGGCTTCAAAGATGGGTGCAATCTCGAACATGATCCTCCTTCTTCTATCTGTCTTTCTGCCGAGGTATCGCAGCTCCCGCTGACTTAACACTTGAACCGGTTCACTGGTTGCACTGGTACCAATAATACCGTAGCTCAAGGGTACTACCGGTAATATCTACCGGTAACCGGTACGGCACACAGCTTTGCGCAACTAACTTTTTCTTGCCACAACTCGCTCTTCTCTCCAAACGATCGAGTTGGGTTTCTTCTCGCTCGGTTGCCGACCTTCACCAGGTCGCCTCCACCATCCAGGATGCCAATGTCTCTGGCATACAACCCATTTCGAACGACTATGGAGTCTGAAATTGATCATTATTATTTACCGGTTTGCTTGCGAGGAGAGTGCACAACACAACTAGTAACTGGAATTAGAAAGGAGCCTCAGCATCCTTCAGATCCTTGCTTCTGAGGAGTTCCAATGTACCGTATGTTAGGATCACTGCCCCCTTAATAACAGAACGGGCTAATAGTACAGTATTGAAACTTGTCAGCTCACGAGCAATACAAACATGGTACCAGATAATGCTACCAGCCAGGCCCTCTTGTGCTGTAGAAGACGGTTGAAGGCTAGATTTCCAAAAGCAATGTTTTGACTTACTTGTTTTGGAGATGATATCCCAGATTCGCTCCCAGGCCAGTGCTGCGCCATGTCTCGTTCACTTCCTTTCATTGCAGTTCTTTGGAATGCCAACGAATGTTGGTTCTGCCTACTAGCTAGCCAGCCAGCCAGTCCTGCACTATGGCAAGGCTGTTTCAGGTCATTAAGTTCAGTCCTACTAGCAGTGTTTGGTCCAAGGAATCTTCCCTCCGCTCCGTTCTCTTTCATCCCCAGGCATTGCCACATGATGCAGTACCGGTAGTCGAAGTGTGGAGGCCGCAACGAAACCCTGCTTCAAACTACAACCGTAACTAAATGATGGTTGGATGACGAACCACTCTGTTTTCCAATATTTCTATTAACTGGTCCACGCTACCGGTGTGCCTCCTTCAGCCTCCTTTTTGCTGCACTTTGGACCAAAGCAGTCTATCGTCGCCTTTGGTACGATTGCGAATTGCCCTACTAGATTGTTTTTCCTCTCCGCTCCCATGGCTGGTTGCTGAATGTGCGTTTGAATAAAAATCTTCGTTGGTTGCCAGAGGTCCCTGCATGCATCCAATTGGCTCTATGATTATCCCCAGCTTGGCGTTTTATACGGTATTGTCCTGAGCCATCGTCCACCTTGAAAAAATTGGGTTCGGGCCCAGCTTTGTTGCGAGATCAGCCATGTAGCAGTACCGGTAGTACCTTCGTCGCCACACCCAACCCTGATCTGAACATTTACAACAATAGTACTTCCATCTGTTCAGTGGATCGATCAATCAGTTAATCAATCAATTTGCAAGACCACATCGTTGCTGTTGTCAGTAGCAGTAATCGGCATGGATGCCATTTCCACCACAATCGTAGAAGATGCACGATTCACAGTTTCTTGTGTTTGCAGAGTACCATTGGTATCTTCTCTCCTTTCAGTAGTAGTAGTAGTATTCAACGCCGGATCATTGGTGATTTCTTCTGAAGGCGTCGGTACCAGCCAATCCTTGGGATGTTCTAGAATGGCTCGTCGTGGTGGATTGGGTTCTTGTGGCGGCGGATATCCTCGTGCGTTGGCCCACCAATGTTGCAGTAGATTGGATGTGTAATTCCAAACAATCGTCAATGTCTCATTGCGAATGTGACGTCGTTTCCGACGGCTCCAGAGCTTGGTCTTCTTGGAGGTACCAGTACTGGGGTTGTTGTCGTTGTCGTTGGTCATCATCATGGTCGTTTGCTTTGTGTCTTTTTTGTTGCGCCGTTTGGCTGCTTTCCAATAAAAAGCCAGCAAGGCTGGTTTAGTCTGACTTCAACACTCCATCCAACCAACATCCCAGCTCCATCTTTCTGTCATCACCAAAGAACCAAAGAAGATGGAGCATGACGCCGAGCAAGGAGCATCAGCAGTCGGCCCTTCAAATCCGTCAGGTGTAGACTCTATTGCCGACAACCCCGCCCCAGAAGGACCAACGACGTTGCAGCAAGCATTGGAGACTGACAACATCGAAGAGAACCCTGATATCAGCAACGAGGAACGATGGTCGCTGATTTGGACGTTACTGATCATCTACTCGGCGTATAATGCCGTTGTGGGGTTCTTCGTGTCGCTTGGGGGATTTCTCGCCAATATGATTTTTTACATTGTTGTTGTTGGACCCACTTCCAGTTGTTCCCAAGCCGACAAACTATTCATCTTGTCCACTGTGATTTTTGGGATTAACTTGTGCGACATGACACTGGGGTGTTGCACGGTGGGATACAGTTGGTTCCTGAAAAGGTCTCCTGCTGCTGGTCCACAACAACAACAAGCCAACAGCGACAGCAGTGAAAATCGAAACATCTTGCCTCATATCCGCAACAGCATCATCATTTGCACAGTGCAACTGTTCCTTTCCTTGTCAGGCATTGTAATTGCCATTGTGGGGTTGGTGCAAAATGCCAGTGCATGCGCCGGATCGGGCGCTGGCATGGCATTTAACATCTTGCTGTTTTTAGACTCGGGATGGGAACTCTTCATCTGGATTGGAGCCTACTACGTATTGCGTAAAGGGCATGCAAATGCACCCATCCCAGATATCGTAGACCAAATCGTACCAGATTCCGTGTGGGAATGGGCCAAACGAATACAGTTGTGAAAAAAGCAAAAAAGTCACATTACTATCAACAGCGGTAGAATGGAATCTGGAGCCATACCGGTCGGTACTACCGTATCCTTTGGCGCCGCATCAAATTATTGAGTGCACTGATCCAAAATCTGGAGAGGGCTGGTGAAGAGGAGAGTCTCAGTCGACTCTAGCTTCCATAAAAGACGACAAAGCATTCCAACAGGAATTCATCAAAAGCCACTCAGAACCCCACCTATTCGACAATATCACCTTTGACTTCCCTGGTTGGTCCAAGATACAGTATTTGACATATGACGCGGTCATTGCTCTTGGTATCACGGCGTGCGAGACTTCTGGTTTGTTCACCGGAACTGAATTCTACGACAACTTGCTGAAAATTGACTTTGAGGGTTTGTCAGGTAGAGTTCAGTTAGACAGCAAAGCAGGGAACCGGCGTGGGGGTGGTCTCGAGTTTGAGATTATCAATGTAGTTATCTCAGATCAAACAAGTGCTCACCCGGACAATGGATCGATTTCATTCACTCGGAATGCCACTGCTTTGGTCACATTTCAACCAGAGACACACCAAGGCAATGTAGAATTGCTACAGCCTTTCCTCTACAATGACAACACAACAAAGCCACCTCCCGTGTTGCCACAACTGGAAGAAAAAATGAACCTGATTCCAGAGCCGGTCTTGGTATTTGGATTTTGTCTGGCAGGAATTATTATCCTCCAATTGATTGGATGGGCTGGATGGGTTCATGTCAACAGGCAAAAGCCTGTAGTTTCTGCAGCACAACCACTCTTCTTGACATTGCTGTGCATGGGAACATTCCTGATGGCATTGGCAATCATCCCTCTTGGCCTCCAAGAACCCAGCACTGGCTTGGATGCAGCATGTATGTCAATCCCCTGGCTAGTCTGCATTGGATTCTGTGTTGCCATGTCAGCCTTGCTTTCGAAAGCTATCAGAATCAACAAACTAATGAAGTCTGGCACTGCTTTCCGAAGGGTTGTGCTGAAACCAACTGATGTGATGCCGCCCTTTCTCACATTGATGTGCATCAATGTTGCTTTCCTAATTGCCTGGACAGCTTCGCCATACAGTTTGTCGTGGCAACGGACCAAAGTCAACAACTATGACGAGTTTAGGCGACAGGTTGAGTCTGTTGGCATGTGCCAGCCACAAGGAGACCAATGGTACCTATTCTTCTTGCTGCCTTTGACAGCAGTCAATATTGTTGCAACTGGCCTTGCCACATACCATACATACAAAGCCAGAGACCTCCCAGTAGAGTTTCGTGAGACCAGGTACTTTGCTCTGTCGATGATCACTCTCTCAGAGATTTGTTTGATTGGTCTACCAACCATTGGAGCTGTGGTCGGAAGCCCAACCGGGCTCTACTTGGTGGTTTCTATTGTCCTGTTTGTATCCTGCAATGCCATCTTGCTCCCGCTGTTTGTTCCCAAGTACCTCTGTCGAAATGTGACAGCACGAGGGAACCCCATTCGCAGTAGCATTGAAGCATACAACAAAGGACCAGAATAAGAAGCGATCTCATCGTATCGGAGACCCATCAGTGCGTTTTGTGCGAAGACACGCTCCGTCGGAGATGTGAATTCATTAGACTCTCGACAGCTCTCTCTCTACGAGGGTTGTCTTCCAGAGCGAAGCTGGTGTAATATAGATGCTGAAGCTGAGATAGTGAAACAGTATAGCAAACAGCGCTTGCTTTGTCCGTAAGCTAGATTAGTTATACACGCGTACCTGATAGTGTTCAATTCAGCCAGAGTCTCCGAAGGAAACAATGCCATTGTACTACTTTCTCTCGCATGCGCCTTAGCTAGTTTCTTTTTCCGATGCAATACAGGCATCCACTCGGCTATACCGGTATTGTCGAACACTACTACAGAACAGTCCGTGCAAATCAGACTCAACCGCAGCCACCTCATGCTCACTGCTCGTGCCCATGCTATACTTTTTGCCTTTCTTCAGGCAGGCACCGGTACTGTACCTTGGAGGCTGCCCTGGTCAAAACTTGTGCCGTCGGGATCATTGGCTGGCTGGCTGCCTGTGAAGAACCCTGCCCAAGAAAGCTTGCTGCATTCACAGGGGCTATCAATGGTAGGGAGTAGTACAGGTACCGGTTCAGTAGAGCGCTTCTTTCAGGTTGTGGGCTAGCTAGATAGATAGTAGATGATTTGCGGAGCAAACGTATTGGGTCTTCCCGTGGACTCGTACCACGGCTTATTCAGCATGAACTCTCTATATTTGGAATAGGCCTACCGGTATGAGATCGCCTTGGATCAGCGCAGTAGATACAGTCAAACCAAAAATTTAATATTACACTCTCTTTTCTACCTGCCCCACCCGCTACGGTAGCTATTGCTTTGCTTCAAACAAGATTTCATCTTCCGTTTCCGTGTCATCTTCCAGTTTCTTGTCGTCTCCCATGAGAGAGGTCCAGAAGGTTCCAATTTCCTTTGTCATGCTGCTCATGAAACTATCTATGTCCTCGACTACTCCTTCTTTGTCCTCACTGGCTGTGGAAGTTCTGGTTGTCGTTTCTTCTGGAGCTGGTGCTTTCAAGTGGCGTGATGAGGAGTTAATATCCCTCGAACTCCAGGTAAATCCCAAAAAGGTGGAAGCTGTGGACGCCTCTTGTTGTTGTTTCAGTATTTCCTGCGCCTCGTCCGAATTCTTGGGTCCGTCGTCATGCACGTCACAGTCGGAAAAGTCTAGGTCGTCCAAATCTAGCAATTCCGAAGGAGCCGTGACGCTGGGTCGTCTTCCCATCAAGATCGACATGCGACCCATTACCGATTGTCGGCCTTGGAGCACAGACGATCGAAGCTTGCTTCGGTAGCTGTTGTTGCTGCGAAAGGAAGCGCTGGTAGTAGTAGAGCTGATGATTTCCTCTTGAAAGGTAACCATGGTTGTTGTGGTTGATTGGATTGTGTTGAAATCGAGTGTGCTTTGGTTTATTCGCTTGGTGATTTTATGGTGGTGGTGGTGACGTGTGACGTGATGCTTGGCCACTATAATACATAATCCAGCACGGTATCGGTAGTAGCTAGCCTGTACCTTGCTTGGTTGTTGCTCAGATCCTTTCGGTTTCCAGGGCAATCCCTGTCTGTGCTGAAAGAAGCAATACAATTCAAGACCGGTTTATGGCACTCTCAACATCACAGATCTTCCATGCATTCTCTATTCTTGCCTTGACGCCGTCCAAGACGTGGGCAAGAAAAACGAGTAGAAATTACCGATAAATGTCCCTGTTATTTATGGATGGTCATTCAGAAAGCCACAGCTTACATGTACAGCTTACATAATACCGTACCAGGTAATGGGTACCGGTACTGGTTAGCTGCAGTCTTCCTCCACCCTCACCCTCTTCCCACGATGTTTCCGCTCACTTTTTGCCAAATTCAAGGTCACTCCGATCGAAGGCCCTCACTGAGCAGTATCCTTGTCAGTGGCTCGAAGATTCGATTCTAAAGGATATTGCTGGGGAGATATCAGCCCGTGTGTACCAAGCTCACAGGAGTGACACGAAAGGTGTGGCCACGGAAGAGGAGAGGAGTGAAAGATACACCAGCCAAGAGGTGCCTCGCTGTCAGAGCCATCGGGTAGCTAGAGGAGAGGTGCCACCCGTACGGAACGAAAGCACGACTCGTCACCCATCGCAAGGTAGGTGTCCGCTTTGAACAACAGCCACAAAGAGTGCAAGACGAATCCGACAGGAAAGACGATTTATCGCTGGAATTCCGCCAGGCTTTAATAGGATGCAATGAACGAATAGACCATTTCCGGCGCCGAAGGCCGGGGCTTCTTTCAACTGCATGATTGTCCTACAGCCTTGAACTATAATACCACTACTAGTTTAAAGTTCACTCAACTCTTTGTTCTGTGAGGCCGAACTGTGATCTCAACTGCAGAAGCCGACCACAGTTGACAATCGAACCTTCCACTACTAGGTATGGCTACCGGTACCTTACCACTACTACCGGTACCGTAGGTCGACAACAGCATGGGCTGCTACTACGGTACCGCTGCCACTGATACTAATACAATGATACGGAAAAGGCTGTCGGTCGTTGGTGTGCTTGGGGCAACGCTCGGTCATCAATGCCAAGAGCAGCCTAAACTTTGTGAAGAGGGACTGGATCAATTTGCCCCCTCTCCCTGACGATATTTAAAAACCCTAGCCCAAAACAGGAAAAATGACTTTGGCTGGGAAGTGTTATACTGGGCGAAATCCTCTGCGCCTTTGTTTTTCCGAAGGGCCATCATCATGAGCTACTAGTGAGCCTGGGAGAGAAGCTGTGCAAGACCCATGCTGATACCGGTACATGTAATTGAGAGCAAAGGCAATACTTGTCTCTCCAGGGAAGGCACCCAAATTTACTACTAGTAGGAGTCGCAAATGGCTCATGTTTGCAGTGCTTGCTTCTGTCGCATTGATTTCGCAAGATAGCAATGTTATCATTGATGTCTTTGTCTCCATTGGAATCACTGACGAACTCACGAGGTCAAGAACCACAATCTGCCAAGCCAACAGTCACAGACGTTGAAGAACGGAACTTGCCCACAAGTTTTGGTTGTGTAATATTGTCGGATAAAGTTGCTGGGTAAATGGTTGCTTTTGCCAGATGCTGTGGACTTAGCAAATTTTTGCCAGGTGTTGGATATCATAACTTGATCTGATTTTGGGGTATTCACGGTGGCAAGTGCAGCTACCGGTAGCATAATTTATTTTCCAGAGGGCCATCATCATGAGCTAAGCCTGGGAGAGAAGCTGTGCAAGAACCAAGCTAGTCTAATAATTGAGAGCAATGGCAATACTTGTCTCTCCAGGGAAGGCACCCAAAGGTGCTCCTAGTACATGTAGGAGCGGCAAATGGCTCATGTTTGCAATGTTTGCTTCTGTCGCATTGATTTCCCAAGATAACAATGTTATTGATATCTTCGTGCCGTCTTTGTCTCCCTTGGAATCACTGACGAACTCACAAGGTCAAGAACGACAATCTGCCAAGCCAACAACACCAGAACTTTCGAGAGCACCCACGTCAACAGTCACATTGAAAGCGATTTCGTACAGTCTTTATGGAAGTAACCCTAAATATACGGTTGGAATGATCAACGTTGCCACCACCTTACCAAGATTCTTTGCGGATTGGCAAGCTTGGATATATCATGACAACACTGTTCCAAACTCAACCCTCCAAGAGTTGCAAAATGTGGGACATCATGTCAAACTCATCAATGTGGAGACAGATCTACCAACATGGGTTCATCCACGGTTGAATCCCATGACTTGGCGATTTCTGATTGCCTCCAATCCTGCCGTAGACGCGTATGCCGTACGAGACAGCGATTCGCTTCCGTCTGCCCGGGAATTTGCAGCTGTGGAGGAATTTCTCAAGTCCGGCAAAGCATTCCATTTCATACGAGACCATCCTATGCATAATCCTCAAAAGTTTGCACCCATTTTAGGGGGAATGTGGGGAGGCGTACATCGAGGAGTGCCGCATATGGATCGACTGTTGAAGATGTGGTACAGCAAGAAGGAAAAATCAACCGGGTATGCATACGCCGATGATCAAGATTTTCTGTGGACAGAAATAATGCCACTCGCCTATCAAGACGTCCTTCAGCATGACTCTTACTATTGCCGAGAATCAAATGCCATTGCTTTTCCCGTCAGCCGCGAGGAAAGTGACGCAGACGACAACAATCCAAATTTCTTTGTCGGCAACAGTTTTGCCCAACGAAACAAACCTAGTCGGGGGAGTGGGAAAATTGGCCAGGCTAAGAAGCGTTACGAGGAATGTCTACAGGATCGCAAGACAAAAGAGACACAACTGGACAAGTCAGGAGTGAAACGAGGAGATTTCCCATCTCACTTCAATACTACTTTCAACGGTCCTATTCAGGGGTCATCCACAGACGCATGGGCAGTCTGGAGTCGACAGATGAAGCTAGACTAACGCAAGACAAGGAATAGAGTGACAGTCGGCAGGTATAATATATTGATGCCATGCACTTTGGCTTTGCGAGCTGAACTGAACTGGCTAGCAAAAGCGACAATGAACAACTTCGTGACTCGACTCCGTCTCGATGACTGAGAACCATTCGCATGGTTTCTAAAGATGCCACATCTGGGCATTCAGATGGATGATGCAGGTGTCGCCCCGACCAAAACAAAGTGCTTTGATTGATAGGGTACCAGTGGCTCCTTGGCAGCTGGCATGTAGTGCAAGGTCAAAGTGTAAGTTTCCAAACAACCAGAAGTTTCCACTTGAAGGGAGTTACCATCTAGCTAGCTATCTAGAACTGAGCATGATCCTTGTCAGTACGTGTACTGTAGATGATTCTAATGGCACCAATACGGTGGTAGCTACTAGCCAGTTGTGGTCTCCAAGCCAAACTTATCATTGACATTGTAGTAGCCGCTCATGACGCTACGGGTATAATCTTCTTCAGTGGCCGTCAGTCGGCATGGCTGGCTACCGTAGCTAGATTCCCGCAACTTTCCTCTCCCCTTGCCAGCAAAGCAAGTGAAAGATCCACGTCAATACCGGTGATCGCTTGGCGCGATGAAATGGCGCTTCGTGCATCTACGAGCACGGAAGGAGAATACAAAATCTCTCCGTCGGAGCGAGCTTATAAACTTGGATACAACTGGTACCAGGTATCAATCGCAACCATGCTGCTACATCTAACTCATTTGCTAGTAGTCAGCATTCTACATGTACTCATTGCAAATGCCGTTGCGGCAGGCAGCAGCACTCCCGTAGTCGATGTGGCCATCATTGGGGGAGGTCCCGCAGGACTTGCCACCGCCCTTAGCCTCCGCCGAGCCCTTGGTTCGAAAGCAAACATCCAAATCTTTGAAAGGGCAAAGACCATGAAGGACGTGGGAGCACATGTGGGCCTCCTGCCGCTGTGTTTCGACGCGTTGGATGCGATTGATCCTACGGGGACGTTGACGAGTAAGGTTGAAAAGGCCGGAGACTGTCGCACGTTGTTGAGACGGTACAACGGAGAGGGCATTCTGGAGGAGGACATTCCATCGGATCCACAGAACAAGGAGGAGAGAGTCGTGGTGGTGCCATGGCACCGGCTTCAAGAGGTCCTGGTCGGAGAACTACGGCAACAAGAGCACGGTGACTCAATGCTTCGTCTCGGGTGCGAGCTGGTGGCCATGGACATGAACGACAAACCCGATGATGGGAAGAGCGGGGTAGTGCTCTCATTCTCCAATGGAGAAACGTGTAGAGCCAAGATTGTCATTGGCGCCGACGGCAACATGAGCCGCGTCCGAAGCCTCCTCTGTGGTGGTGACAACAATGACGAGAATCCAGTTTATGCTGGATCCGTCATTTGGAGGATGGGACTTTCGTCCGGGGAGATTGGTCAAAACATTCTAAAGAAAATCTCAGATACCACTACTAGTACTGGCGTGTCGAATGTGTGGGCAAACAATGGACGGGTGCTCGTGGCACAAAAGTTTGGCTCGGGAGACTCTGCCAAAACGTACATTTCCGGACAAGCGGCGTGGCCTGAAGATAGGTTGCACATGCTGGATCGGCAGTATTGTGGCAATACAGGTTACAACAACGTGGAAAAGGAGGACGTTGTGGATGGTGGAGGCAGGAAGGAAAATCGACAACCCCAAACGAGTGCGTTGGATCGATTCCTTGAGGAGTTCCAGGACTTCCCTAGGGACATTATGGATGTGGTCGCAAAGGAATGCAAAGTTGGAAGTCTGCTGGAGCATCCCATATACTTTCGTCCACCTGGGAGGCCGTGGGGAAAATCCCATGCGACTCTGTTGGGAGATGCTGCGCACGGTATGCCCCCCAATAGCGCCATGGGAGTTCCAATGGCCTTGGAGGATGCAGTTGCCCTGGGCCACGCTTGTTTTCAATATGGATGCACGGACGAAGCCTTGAGAGCCTACGAGAAGGCAAGGCAAACACGCGTGAACACCATTGCAAACGCGGTGATTTCACAGTCGACGGGATACTACAAGGATCGAGACGAGGACTCAAATCCTTTCAAAGTCAAGGGCAATGAGGGCATTGTTTCTTTTGTAAGGAATTTCCAGAACAAACCTGTTCCCCAATACGGCGGAAATCATGCAAGCACGCAGATTCGCAAAAAGTCATGAGCCCGGAAGGATTCTCCATCCAGGACCTTTCTAACATCCGTACTCTAGACCACCCTATTCTCAATCACCCTTTCACATTTCATGCAATGGCTGCTCGATCGAATTCCTTCAGGTGTGGTGGACCCGTTCTGTCTTCCGTGATAAAATAAATTCTTGACAGCCAGTGTGAACGCGCAGCTGTAGACTTGATGGACAATGCCAGTGGCTGCAAGGGCTACTTTGTCCCGGCTTCGAAATGCATTGAAGTTGATGTTGAACCTGCTTGGAATGACTAGTAGCAAAACTTACTGTGCCAGCAGGACGCACCATTCAAAATCATTCATTAATTAATTAATACAGTTTTAGAAATGGTTCTTGCTATGTATGTGGGTTGGCCGAGTGCAGGGGAAGTCGTGGTGGAAGTGGAGGGTCAGCGGGAGAGACGCTTTGGTAGCGTCGATTCTTTGTAGTAGTCGTGAGAGGTTGCATTGTCGTCTTGCCGTCTCGCTCGTTATTGCGTCTACCGTGACCGTCACGGCAAGAAAACTTCTTTACTGTTTCTTCTTGTCGTCTGGTAACGCCTCCTGCACAATGTACGGTTCATTCCGGGCCAGCCGTTCCGTGGCAAAGTTCTTCAAGACGAACCAAAATGCCACACCCAACAGTGGATTGTCCATGACTCGTTTGATGACCGATGTAAATGTGAGCATGCACACAACCAAAACAGCCATCATTGGGTTCTGGAAGAAATAGTCGATGACTGCCTGAACGGATTCTACCGTACTGGTGCTGTCGCCAATGGGTGTAGGTTCTCGCTCCTTCCAAGACGCCAGAAGGTCCTTGCCTCGTTCGACGTACTCCTTGTCCGTGACGGGTGCATCATTTCCATCAGGTCCTTTGACGGGATTGGTCAATGCCATTACTTCCTTGCGTGCCAAGTTGGTGACAAAATTACCAGTCTGCAGATTGAGAATAATCAGGGTGGGTAGCCGGAAGGCTTTCAAGTTGGTGGCCAGCGCATGCTTAAACCCGACACTCTTCTCATCCCCGTCCAGTGCAAGCCATGGCATTTTCCCGTAATATTCTTCGAAGGATGGACGATCATTGTCGGATGAAATAAACACCACTTCCATGCCATTGTCTTTCCCCACCTTGTTGTAGAAATCCACCAACTTGGGTGTAAACTTTTCACAAGAGTGGGACCTAATGACGAAAACCCAAAGAAAAAGTAAGGGTAAGATACAGTCCAGCAAGATTCCATAGCAATCACGAATATTATCATGATAATTGAAACTCACCATGACGCTGAAAAATAAAGGGCAATCAATTCCTTTCCCTTGAAGAGCGAAGTGGTTGGTTTCGAAGGACCCCCAACACTCGTCAATAGTGAAGGTCCAAAATGCTGCTCAATCATTTCATCGGAAGCAGAAGCGACTTCGTCTCCAGAAGGTCCATCGCTGGCCTTCACGACTTCTTTCTTGTCCTTTGGGCTGTCCTTGGTAACATACGTGTGCTTCTTTTTGGGATTCGTGGAGGCAACCATGGTTGATGGTTGGGCAAGTTTCGGGGGCTTGAAGGTCAGAGAGAGGTAGAGAGAGACTACTGTAGCTAATCTTAACTTTTTTGTGCTGTGGGCTTCAGAATCTGTTTTTGTGTCTATCAATGTGGCAGATGAATGCAATCGAACCCAAGAAGCACTTTGGTGATGATGAATGCATGATGCTTGTTTCCTTCGGAGCTGACGTGTGTCTCTTGTCACACACTCACACTGTTTGATGACGGGCTTTCGACGTTTCACGGAACGATTGAAAAGGGTCGCAAAGTGACTCTTTAATTAACTGAAGTATCCACGAATGATTAGATTGCCACGTCGCACATCCCACGGTACGACGAAATCCTTCTCTTATAGAGAACAGACCTTCATACTTAGGAAACCGAGACCGGAAGGTCGAGGTTAGAGAGGTTGACCGAGGGTGAGGTCGTTAAGTAACCGAGACCGAGGTTACTTAACGACCGAATCCCGAGGTCACCCGAGCGTTCCTAAGTTGAAGGTATGTTACTATGGGAAACCAACCGACGGTTAACGCCCAGGTTCCTGAGAAAAAGTAGCCGTTGGTAGCCAACCATGGTAAGTCGTACCCAAGCCTTCCGGCGTTTGAGCGACAACACGAGAACAACACGAGAACAACACGAGAGCGACAACGCAAGAGCGACAACGCAACAAGAGTGACAAGGACAACAACAAGAGCGACAAGGACAACAACAAGAGTGGCAACACAAGAGCCACACCAGCCCTCGCGGCGCTTGAGCGACAGTCATAGAAGCAGTTGTCGTTGTGTTTCATGAACCACGGTAAAGCATAGTTGTAAAGAATTTTTCAACGACTGAGAAGGTTTCACGACTGCTTTCTACAAAGAGCATATCCTTTAAGTCTTGGAAAATGGCTTTAAGTATTTTGTGCCCCGTCCTACATTTTTTGAAAAAACGGCCGTCAACCTTCCCTTGAAGGTTTGTACACAAATCGCTACAGTAAAATGAAGGTTAGGAACCAGGGCGAAAACCAAGGTGGTTTCCTTTTCTTGTCTCCCATCACAAACACAACCGCTTCGCGATGGTGGAAATAGTTTCACTAGAGGATACGACCATGTCAACAGTACCAGAAGGGTCAACCCCAACTGTCCGCTTCAATGTTGGTGGCACAAAGTATGAGATCTCGAGGTCCCTCTTGTCACAGCACCAGAACACCATGCTCGCCAGAATTGCTTCGGAAACATGGCAAAAAGACCCTCAATCAGAGATTTTTGTGGAACGTGATGGTGGGAGATTCAAGTTTGTGCTCGACTTTATGCGAGATGGTCAAGTGATCTTGCCAGCCCCAGGCCAAGTTTCAAAGGAGAGTCTCTTGAATGAGTTGGCATATTTTGGATTTGATAATGTGGACCCTTCTAGAATCAAAGTGGAATTTGCCCACCTGGATGCACCAAGGCAAATGATGCAGCTCACAGAAGAACACAACAACAAAATAGAAAAACTCTACAGCAAGCGTGAGAAGCTCAACATTGAAATTGCAGCCAATGTTGTGGCTCATGCATGCTGTGTTCGACATATGACCACAGGAAAGGTGGACTTGACCTTTGATGTATGGCAATCACACAACAGGAACGTAAAGAACGAAAGAACTGATGATAATCACCTTGACTTCGAGGTATATGATGCTGTTTTGCGTGGCAGTTTGGAGAACGAGAAACAAGAAAAATTGGACGAGCTTCTAGCCAAGTACGGGTTGCGGGGTACTAGATATGAAGAATCCCGTTTTCACTACTTGTGTGGCCCATCGGCGCTAAACAACGTCCAAGTTAGCCTCTCGAAGCTTTAGTAATTTGCAACATCATCACTTTTTCATTTATTAAAGATTGTGAAACGAACAGTTCGTCAGGAGCAATATATTGGTAGATCAGACTGAGTATGCACTCGGTTCTCATCGACATCTTCCAGAGCTAGCAAACCGACTAAAACGTACAGTTGGAAAAGAAGTACCGGTACCTGTGTGCCGGTAACCCTCCCTGCTACTCTGTGCATTTCCCAAAGAGGACAAAAGGTTGCCGCTTTGGCCAAACTCCACATTTTGCTTGAGGGGAACACGGGTCAAAACGCAGGAAAAGGTCGCAGTCTTGCCCAGTAAAACTATCCACGAATGAACGGACAAATCAGGCGCCAATGCCAAGAAAGTCAGACCAAGCCAATGACAAGCTGCGTCCTCGGCACCTTCTGGCGCCTTGGCTTTCATAGTTTGACAGTGCAAAACAAGACGAGGCATCCATGGCGTCAGAATCCAGAGAAGAAGGATTATCCCTTACTGTCCGCTTCAATGTTGGTGGGACAAAGTATGAGGTCTCACGGTCCCTCCTGTCACAGCACCAGGACACAGTGCTAGCTAGAATGGCATCGGCAACCTGGCAAAGAAATCCCCATATTGAGATCTTTGTGGAACGTGATGGTGGTAGATTCAAGTTTGTGCTGGATTATATGCGAGATGGTCAAGTGATCTTGCCAGCCTCAGGACAAGTTTCCAAAGAGAGTCTCTTGAATGAGTTGATGTACTTTGGATTTGACACAGCAGACCCTTCTAGAATCAAAGTGGAATTTGCCCACCTAGAAGAACCCATGCCTATGAGTCGCATCACAGCAGATCACATTGAAAAAATGCAAGAGCTCTACAATAAGCGTGACAAGCTGGACATTGAGATTTCAGCCAACATTGTGGCTCATGCTTGCTGTGTACGGTACACAACCACTGGCAATTTGAATGTGATCTTTAGTGCCGTTTCGGATGATCACCTAGACTTGGAGGTTTCTGACGCCGTGGAGTGTGCCAACTTGTTCAACGATGCACAAGAAACCCTGATCGCCGCTCTGAACCGGGTACTTGCAAAGTATGGGTTTCGGGCAGCCGAATTTCAGATATCGCACCGCAAAGGTGAGCCGGAAGTCAGAGTGGATCTCTCCAAGCATGTTTGCTTGCTCCTTTGAATGGCCCTTTCGTGCAAATGGGAGCGATCACAACAACGCTCGCTCATTTCTACGGTAATTAAAGGCAGCGTTTCTAAACCGACACACAGGTGTAGGTTCTATTATTGATACGGGCGGGATGCATATGGGGGTAAAGTTGTTAATAAGGGCTCTTGATCTATAGTTATTGATAGAAGACTTTGATTGATGCAAGCCAGAACACAGGGACAGAAAGGGCCCACGACACTCCTTGACAGAATGGTGCATTACAGAATGGCGCATGCAGAACCATCACCATACATGTAATTGAGTGTGTGAAGATCGACCCATGGCTTCATGCGTTTCTTGATGGGATCCCATTGCTGTTCCTCTTTTCGCAAGAGTCTATCCATGTCTTTGCAAAACTCATGCCATTCCACGTTGGGATCAGCCACACCATCCATGCTGCCTTCTCCGAAGAGCAGGTAGCAGAAGTCACGGAGCTCGCTCTTCGTGAGCTTTCTCTCATCCAACATGTCAAAGACACGATCATGATAGCCCATCTCCCGCATACGGTGAATGGGCAAAGCATAGTTGAGCCACGGGTTGTGTTCATGCACTTCTTCTGCCTCACCGACAAAGTCGTCCAATACTTCCATAGAAAGCTCTAGAACCGAGTCTAGCTCATTGTAAAAGTTGACCACATCCTCTTCGTCCGTGCAAAGACGGACAACCACCCAGACCGGAAGACCTTCTAGGCTCCTGAGGGCCTCTACGAATTCATCGCGGTGTTCTTGACGGGAATATCCACGCAAGTCTGATGGAAGGCCATCGGTTGCAATCTGAATGGTCACCCTCTGCCCGTTGGCCCGAAGAGTGGGTGCCATGGCAGAAACCTCGCGGTGGATCTCCAGGATGTGTTGTGTCAATGGCGTGCAACCTCCAGGACGCGCCCGTTGCATGATTCGAAGCCCATTCTGCACGTCACCGGGGATGCTCTCCACGCTGCCAGTAGCCACGTGGAATTGCTGGGGTCCAACAGCGGCGCCGGGGTCGTTCAAGAGACGAAAGCTTGTAGGGGCTTCCAACAGACCAGACAGTTGCGTGTGATACTTGACGCATTCTTGGATTTCCTCCCACCGGGAGCACTCGATCATTTTGATCGTCTTGCGGTTCCTGGTTTCAGCCATGCGGTGACCGTCGCAAGTCTGCATAGAGCCGCTGTTATCCACGATCCATATCCTTTTGCTGAACGACTTCTTTGCGTCATTCAGAGACTGTGCAAGCCCTCGAGAGAACCCTTGATCGGTCAGCCGCTTGATTTGTTGTTCACTGAGGGGCGCTGTGACAGGACGCTCTGCCGCAGGTTGTTGTGGGTTGGCATAGGCCGCAGGAGAAGAGGCGGGTTGTTGTGGGTTGGCATAGGCCGCAGGAGCGGAGGCTCCAAAAGCTCGTGCGGGGTATCCTGGCACTGCGTTGGCCGCATCCTTGATCGGCACAGCCATGGCCATCGGTACCGATTGTGCGAAGCCTGTGTTCGGTGACATCGTGTTCGTTTGCTTTGCTTTGCTTTGCTTTGCTTTGCTTTGCTTGGGGTTGATCTTATGTTTGTGTGATGCTTGTGTTCGTTTTGATTTGTTGCAATTTTGTGAGAGTTTCCTCTTCGATCCTTTCGCCGCGTGTCCAATTATTTCTTCCCCGTGTCCTACACGGCACGACTTGATGCCCCGACTCGACTCACACCAGATCCTTTTCAATCACGACTCGATTCGAGAGGTCTTTAAAGCCTTATCCTTACTGTATTTATAAATAGTCCTTAGCCTTATTTTGCGAACCTTGAAGTGTACACTTTTGTCTTCGTGATCATCTGACGCGTCTGACCACTAAAATTCCTCATTCTGACGGAGTTGATTTCTGAAGATAAGACTTATGAACTTGCTCTTTTAGTAATCCCGGCTGAGAACTGGAGGATCTTTTTTCGGAGCGGAAGACATTTCCTGTGAAACAATCTGCCTTGGTTATAAGATATTGGTATCAGATGTATCCTTGGACACAGGTACAAGTATGTCACTCAATCAGTCTCCCCCTGGATCTACATCTTGCATTTGTAATAGTTGTCTACGGCTGTATCTACTATCTGGTAGCTTGAGTAGCTTGAGTAGTTGAATGGCTTTTGTCTATGGTCCTTGCTGCATTTTGCTTATCGATTCTGTGGGTGAGCGTAAGTATTCCCGCTTTCCAAAACAAAGGCAGGCCCCACCGCCCCACCCATTCCTACTTTTCCCTGTGTGGAACCACCACCTGGGCCCATCAAACGTACGGTACCAGTGCCGCACCAGCATCTGTCTTTGGTCGACCCACGCACCTCATGGTCCCATTTTTTTAATAAATGCAGGCCCCACTCCTAATCCCACGGCGGAACCAACGCCTGGGCCGATCAATCAAACGCACCAGTGCCGCACCGCCATCTGTTTGTGGTTAGTCTCTCGCGGATCTCACGCCTCTTTCATCTCATGGTCCCACTCAAATCCCATAGTCTACTTGGACCACATGCCAAGAGCCGCTGGCTGCAGGCCCCACTACTAGTACGCTAAAAGCTTCCACACCCGGAACTGGCCGACCCAGCTGCAGGTTATAGCTGTCGCCAAAGCCTCATTGATTGCCTTTTTAGGACTTATTACTAGAGGTACCAACGCACTGACAGCACCATCACCTTTGGAATGAATCGCATTTTGGCAATTGCCTGTGTGGTGACAACTAGACTATTGTACGATACCAGAAGCGCGGTTAGCTACCGCAGTCATAGCAGTATTTGGAGGCGTTGAGGCCATTCGATATCTTAACATCAAAGAGAGAGTGTGTCAGACCAAAACTGACGTTTCTTGCGAACAGCCCCCCAAGCCTCAAGGCCCAGGCTGGCCGAAAATCAATTGTTAAGGATTTCAATGTCGACTCGCGACACCAACTGCCCTGAAAAGCTCCCTTTGGAAAAGAAGCAGCTGCGGTGGCCCAGTTTGCTTCAATGTCTGGATGCCACGGGGCTCGCCACCCAATTGCCCACCCTTTCAGGCTTCAAGAAAGACTGGCTGTACCTCGCTCCGCTTCTCAAAAAGCAGCCAACTCTCAACAGCTTGCTGCTTGTGATAACCGATAAAACCCTGCGTGGTGGCTCCAAAAAGCTGCTGTATCCTGTCGTCGCCTTGGACTTGTTGTACATATTAGACTAGTCTTTGGCATACTATCGCTCAGATCTTTTGAGCTACAGCACAGTATTGGAGTTTGCTATTAGTTAGATCCATTATAGAGCGCCTGTGTTAATATCACGCTCATTTTGGCTAACAGCATCCTACAATCACGCAACAATCTACAGTGTTGCGCTGACTCCAAGAAAAGAAAAAGAACCAGCCGCAGCATAACCCTCCGCTTCGCGTCTCTCTATCCTTCAGAGACCTTCCATAATATCTCGACTTGAGTTGTTGATTGATATACTAGCCAATGTTCCACACCGCAGCTCCCATCCTTCGAGAGTCCGAAGCACTATCGGCGCGGACTCTCAGTAGTGTTGTTCCCTCGAATGATACTGTGACCAAAGCCCTCAGTGTCACCAGCGGCAGCTTGGACCTCCTCTTGCTCGGCAATCTGCTAGAAGTCTGTCAAGACCTGTATCGACATGACCTTGCGGACGAATCACTGAACCTGTACGCATCGACTGTCTCCTATTGCAAAGATTGCTCGTGGAACAATGCCCAACTCGTCAGCCATCAACTCCAAATGGCCGTACGACGACTTCAAGACGCAACAACCGTACTGACAGACGAACCCGAACTGCCCGACATGTACCACGAAGACGAATGCGATGTTGGACCACGATGCTTCAAACATCCCGTGTTCCCTTCTGTGTCTCTCCTCTCCTCCTCCTCCGCCAACAGTCTCATTCTGGCGTACATGGAACTCTTGTTGGTCTACAATCGCGGTGTTGTACAGCACGCGCAATCCGAGTACGGCGAAACCATGAGACTCTACGAATACGTCGCGCTCAGTCTCACGTCTCAATGGTTGCCTGCTACGACCACCGATCATCCCCTCCGACGCTCCTTGTTGGAATTGAACATGTACGTGCAGAATAACATGGGACACATTACCTACATGCTCGGACTCGAAGACGCCGCGGCCGATCACTTCCGCACCGCACTCGCCTACAAAACGTCGTCGTTGGAGTACGCCATGGTCGTTTCCAATTGGTGTCGTGTCCATTGGATGAGTGGAGACATGTCGGAAGAAGTCTTTCGAGGACTCCAACAAGTACTCTGTATTCGCACGGATCTCCTTCCTTGGGATCACATGGATGTCGCCAGTGCTCATTACAATTTGGGCATGGCGGAATACGCGCGCAATCACTCCGAAGCGGCTTTGGAACACTTGTTCTCGTACCTCAAGGTGGCCGCTTCCAAAGCGGCGACGGACAATAACAGCAGCAAACAGACCGCAGCGCTGAAGGTAAACAAGAAGGATCAGTGGCTCTACACACTCGATCCCATCCCCGCCTTGATTTATATCTTGTTGGTCAAGAACGAACCCAAAGAAGATGACATTTCCCAAGAATTGGTCCGGGGATTGCGATCCTTGCAAGAAAAGCGAGCCTGTGTCGGACCGCAAGGTCCCGAGGTCGCTTCCGTCCTCAATTTTATCGGTACGCTGCTCTTTCATCAACGAGACAATGAGCACGCGCTCTTGTTCTTTCAAGAAGAATTGCGATTGGAAGAAAATCTCGTCTTTCATCAAGATGATGTCTCCATTAGTGTTACCTGCAATAATATCGGTCGCATCCTTCAAGAATTGGGACGTCTCCCCGAAGCCAAGCATTATTACCATCGTGCGCTCAAGGGACACTACGGTGATCGCATTGAAGAATGGTGTGCTCTCCCCAACGCCCAAGATGTCTGTCCCGTCCAATGGAAGGTGGAACATCTCAAGGATCTGCCCCAGAGTACCATGCAGCTCTACTCGGCCGTCTGGTACAATTTGGGTCTCATTTGGGACAAGCTTGGATGCTACCGCGAGGCTACCAATGCCTTTCAAGTCTCGTTGGGATTGCGCCGCGCTTTGCTCGGACTCAATCACGCCGATGTCGCGTGTCTCTTGTACAACATTGGAGTGTTGCAAATGGAACAAAAATTGCTCAAGGAAGCGACGTCGTCCTTTCGAGAGGCCCTCCGCATCCGTCAAAACTCTCCTTCCACGGGCCACTTGAACGATGCGCATGTCATTCAGACCCTCAAGAAATTGGCCGCCTTGCACAAGGCCAAGGGCGATATCAATGGAGCTTTGGAAACCTTGTGGGAAATTGTGCGCTTGCAAGAACCCACTACAAACAAGGATGCTACTACTACTCTGGCTGCTAACGGCTCAGCAGCACAGAGCAATCACACCAAGGAATTGTGTGTGACCTATCGAGAGGTTGCCGAATTGTACCATGCCAACAGCAACCTCTCCATGGCCATTACCATGGCACAAAAGTCCACGAGCTTGTTGCGAAAGCTCCAACTCGCTGTGGCGCAAAACAACACGACTACGTCTACTACCGTGGCAACCCAAGAGTTTGTTGTCTATACCGAAGAACTCGTTGCGGGATTGCTGCTGCTTGGATCGTTGTATCACGAAGATAGCGAACCATTCACTGCTCGACAGCTATTTCAAGAAGCATCGACCATGATTGCTCGAGTATCCCGATGCTTTCCCACCTCGACGGCATTGGACGCCATGCAGGAAGTCACGCAGATTCTTGCGGCCTGTCATTGCGCTCCATTGGCGTGAGGAAGGAAAGAAAAAGTGGTACTCTCCTCAAGTATTTCTCCTACCTCTCTGCACATATATTTATTGGAGGAAAACTTGCCCCTCTGGTGTTTTGCGAGGCTCTTGCACATTTATCTACATTTTGATTTCGCCTCGCACAACACCATCACAGGAAACTGAACATACCATACTGTACCACTGCTTTAGATTTGTAAATACCAATAAAATCTCCGTGGTTTGCTTGTACATCCATCGCTATCAATGCCCTTTGTGAACTGTACGGTTACCTCGTAACTGCGGAAAATAATGTACCGTTTGCGACAGGGGTGTGATGGGTCGGAACTCGAGGATCCAGCAGTTAACGCAACACATCCGCAACCTTTCACCAAAACAAATAGAAGCAATACGCAAAGATAGAAGCATTGTTGGTCCCATCGGACCGCAATCTGGCCCCGGTTATCCACCAGAACCCAAGCAAAGCTTGCTTTGCCTGCCCCAATATCGGCGGCTCCATGGCTGGCCACCCAGAAGGGCACGGCTGTAACAATCTGCAAGACAGAGTATGCATCCACCATCCACTCAAGCTCTTGATAAAGGGCTGTTTCCCAGGGTTCTAAGGTTGGGAGGAAATCTTCAAAGGTGGTTGGTGTGGGTGGTAGAGGACGAGCAGGAATGCCTATCGTGTACCCACTGGTACCAGCTACCACTGTCTCACGCTTGGTGAACAGTGCCAAGTCCAGCACTCGTCGGTTGCCTGAGTCCGGCTGAATTGTGGTGCATGATTTGGGAAAGTAAGGGTCCAAGGGCACTGCATTATGTAGGACGCTAGCATCAAGGTATGTCTCATCTTCGAAATCCCAGCGGTGAACAGTTCTCTCTTTGTTCGGCACAGGATGTTGAAACATCCAGAATTCAGATTCGGCATCATCAACCTGTTGGTAGACAACGTTGGCATCGACCTCATAAAAGAACCGATGTCGCATGTGCAACTTGTCGGCAGAGACCAGCCATCTGCCCAGTGGTACATCTAAAGTCAGGCCGGGAGCGAACAAGGTGAGGGCCTTCCTCCAAATCCACCATGTTTTGGGATCCTTGGTCGTTCTTGGAATTGCTTGAAGTAGGTTATCCTTGGCATCAAGGGGCTAGAGAATCCATGCCAGACCTCCTCCCGAACATAGGTTCCACAGGCTGTGGCGATGTCTGCAACCGTCACCACCTGAAAGTACAGCCGCACATAGTTGATGCATTTCAAATCTGCCGGGGAGAAGTCCCCATACCAGTCCACCCAGTCCATGATGTAAGAGTCGTTCTCACGCTGCAGGGGTGGAATATGAGCATTATGCACTTCAAATGGTACCCCCACGGACTTGAGAAACCGTATGATGCACTGAAATAATCTCACCGGCAAGTGGCACTCGATATCGAGATCCTCAAGGATAGGACGACCAATGCCTGCATGGAACTGCAACCACACATAGGTAACTCGCTGAGGTTTCCAATGTCCGTACAGTGTGTTCTCCAATGCTTTAAAAACTGCTGAATAACGCCGATCCCCTGCTTATAGATATAAGAAGTACTAGTATTAAGGCAAACTACCTATCTGGTCCGGAGGACCTTTGTCAACGCTGTTACAAATTGAGCCCGAGGGCCCAAGCAAATGACGGCTAGGCGAAACATTTCAATGCCACCGAGCTTCCAAGAGCCATAGCAAATCACCTTTGCCGTGTTGGCTCCGTAGCCCATTTTCTGAAGGGCCGCTCGTCTTGGAGCTGACTCAATAGCATCGAGATCAGTGTCCTTAAAGAGCGTCGCCTCCAAGCAGTAGGTCACACTTGACAAGAAGATGCCCCTGTAGAACATGTGGCCTCTCGTCGATTCAAGGGAGAAGCCTTCAGGACTCGTGTATAGTGAGTGCAATTTCGAATCAACTCCTGTTTCTGCGCCAGAGTTTTTCCGGAGGACCCCTTGTAACATCCCAACGACTTGTGATCTTTGGCATTTGCAATGGGTTTGATTGGCGTGACCACCCCATCTGCCAACTTGACGTTGATCTTTGGGGTGAATTGCACCCTCAAAACCAACTGTGGTTCCCCACTAGGACGGAATTCATAGCGCAAAGGATGAAACAAACACTTGGACTCCTTCAGCTTGCCACCAGATGACCAAAGCAGGTCATTCCACCACTGAGAATCTTTAGTTGCCTTCGCAATCAGCTCCCGAGGGAATCTCATTGGCCAGGCTGGTTCACAAATTTGCATCATCCACGAAACCAGTCATGAACAATTGGACACGCTTGCTTCCAACCGGACTTGCAAAGAGAGCGCTGGAAATGAATAGCCACAGAGCCGGGGAATTCCCTGCTCCCTGCCCGGATCCGTGCCAAGGGTTTTCCTCCGTATGCCCAAGAAATGTGACCGAAGTGCCCAGGGTTGTTTTTGCTGTGCCCTGCGAGATGCGCAGTGCATGAACCAAGTGTTGCCCCATAAATGATTTGCTTGATGGCAGATGTTGCACCCATGAGACAGTCAATGTGTTCTCACTCCACACCACAGGTGGGTGTGCCGAGTATCTGGAAGCTAATATGCCGAGTATCCGGAAGCTAGTTACTAGTCACTAGTCGAGTGGGATTTAATTCATCATTAGGTTTAAAGCTATCTTAATCCTCGTCGATGACCACGGGATCCTCCTGGGTTCCACGATAGTACACCACGGCTTGATAGACTTGAGCTACTTCGTCATCCGAGTGGCAGATGGGGCACCCGCTAGCAATACGCCCATCGTCGTCTTCTTCGCCTAGGTAGTCGTCTTCATAGGTTGCACGTACAGCAATCAGATTGTCATAGCATTGTTACACATGAAGTGGCCGCAGTCAAAGACGACGACCCTGTCGCCATTGCGGAACCGTTCTGCGCAGATAATGCATTCTTCGCCAGTGGCGTTGATGGCATCTAAGATGTTGGCCATGGTCAGATTGTCAGTCTTATTCTTTTGAGAGGGAGGTTGTTTTCAAGTTGGGATTAATTTATGAGGACGGAGGTCCTCGGGGGGACTTCCGGAGGACTCAGGAATGCATTGGTCTTACGCTTCGCTATGAGCGGCTACCGCCCTTAGCCTGCAGCTGGCTTAAATGATATATGGCTGATGGTATGGGGGTTAGTATTGTTATCTAGGATCTGAAAGATTAATGTGGTTGAACGACAGTTGTTTGTGCTGGTAAATTTAGATTCAATCATTCGACTAACTGGCTTCCGGTGTTTTTTAGATTTTTGTGTTTGGATGAGGTCAGCACCTGCCATACTTACTAACATCAGCGCTTCGAAGGTGATGGGTTGATCGAGTTCTATGGCATCGTCGTCTAATTCAATGACTCCGTAGTCAGGGAAACAGGACTTTACATTATCGATTTCTTCATTGGCAAGGCCGAATAGATTCATTCTATTCAGTGTGTGACTGTAGGTGAGGAAGCCTTCCGTTACAGCATCACGTTTCAAGAACGCCATGGCCGCCATCATATCGTTAATAACTGTTGTATAAAGACTAGTGATGATAAACATAGTCGTCGGAAAATTTGACAGAGGGGAGAGTTGGTTGGATTCATTCATTCATAAATTACCTTTTAAGGTGAGGGTTACACCCTTGATTTTCATTATTTATTATTATTATTATTATTATTATTATTATTATTATTATTAATTATTTTGGTAAAAAACAACGACAATGGTGACTAAAAATAAAGACCCCGTTCAACATGTTCCAAGTATGGACGATTTAATGAAGAAGGTGATGGCTACACTTGATAGTGAGGAGGTGGTTCCTAAGCATACAAAGAGAACTTCAGAGGAGGAGACTACTTTTGTTAGGTTAGACAAGGGTGAAAGCGAGGAACGTCCTTCGAAGAAGGCTAAGTTGGATAAATCACAGCCTAAAAAGACTTCGGAAGATTCTGGGGATTCAGAGGATTCTTCTGATGAAAAGGTTTCGGAAACAACACCGGCGGAAGGTGACGCAAAGCAATGGAGTGTACCGCCTCTACAATCAGAGTGGGTTCCTTACGGTAGCAACAATTATGGTCGCGGGTATAACAACTTTGATCGCGGATACTATGGTGGGGATGGTTTCTTCAATCGCGGGTACAACAATCGCGGGTACAACAATCGCGGGTGGAGGCCTTGGCGAAGTCGCGGGTATTGGTCATAATTTATTAAGGAGTTAACATGGAGGATAAGACACGGTTTGTCGTTGAATTCAAGTCTAGACGGGATGCTACACTCTATTACAACTTGGTAAAGAAACTTCTTCATATGGAGGCTTCATATGAGGGGTTTACTGAGTATGATTATGTGAGTTATTGGAGAGGTGAAGGGGGATTATTAGTGACTGTTTGTTTTAAGAATCATATGACTGAGGGGCAACTAAAGTCTTTTTAATTGATTACGAGGTCGAAGTTAAGCCTCTTCCATCTTCGTATACGTTAGGGGAATTGCAAAAACTGAATTGGAGTTGGTAGGACATAAACCCAGTGTGTTGACTACTGATGAAGATTGTTTGGGTGGGAGGTCATAGATACATCGACAATGAGGTCTTTCTCGACGAGAGGGAAAAGACTTTGTTAAGGGCCTTCGGGTACAATGACAGAAATTGGGTGGCTAAGCCTATCAAGGAAGGGGTTACAAAGGCGGTTAAATCTATCCAGACTAAATCTATCTTGGAATTTATTAAATAGTAAAAAACTAATAGCTAGTTCCTATAACAGTTCCATTCATCTTTCCCGCATATTGAATATTTTTTCGATTTTAGATGGAAGATCAGGTATCTGTCGCTTGATAGCTACATATCGGGTTCTTCGTTCATGAACACAACGACATGGGGTGTGGCGAACCTCTTAAATAATTGAATGGAATTTGGGGCTGTTAACTGCCCCATTGTTTAATTCTTCTAAGAAATCATATTGAATGAATTCTCCTTGTTTACTCCAGGGGCAGTCTATTAATACTTTCTTGTCTTCTTCAACCACGTAGGCCATGTCTGCTTTCTTGCCTGGTAGGAATAGCTAGGCATGGTCATAGAGGCCATTCATAGCATAGTATTCTGTAAACCAGGTCTTCCCTTGGTTGCCTTCTGGATCCACTACGAAAATTATTTCACGCTTAGAAGGTGCTAGTTTCAGTCGTCTATACAGGTCTTGTTGCCAGGGACAGAGGGGGAAGAAGTCTGGTTTTTTCTTGGGTCGGTTGTCTCTCACGTAATCTATACTGAATTTTTCATGGCTTGCTACTACACTCGAATGCAATTCTCGGAGGATTTTCATGTCATACACACCTTCTTTAACAGAGTTTTTGAAGGCTTCAAAGTCATTGCGTTTATTGGGGGTGCCTTTCTCAGTAAGAGCGGGTGGTGTGCCGATTTCGACAAAGTCAGGGTCTTTCTTGCAGTACTCTATTGAGCTACCTAGATAACGTGTTGCTGTACAATGGGCTTTGCCTACGGTGGCTTTTACTTGTGTTAATCTCTTCTGTGATTTAAAGCAGACAGTGCTCTGGAGGTGAGGTGTTCCTGTGCTGCTTATTCTTTTCCATATATGAGGTAATCTATCTCTGGGTATTGCGTTGAAAGTCGATCTAGGTCTGCGGGGGTGTAATTGTTGATGGTGAAACACCAGTGTTTTGTTCTTGGTCCGGACCTGGAGAAGGAGGTTTTTCTTTGTGAGTGGTTTTTACATCATTCTGAGGAGGCGGTTGATGACGGCGATCATAGATGACTAACGAACAAATGATACGACTGTTAAGAAATTCATACACAACGATGATTCATACACAACGACGATTCATACACAACGACAATTCATACACCACGATGATTCATACACGACGATTCATACACAACGATTCATACACAACGGTTCATACACAACGATTCATACACAATGATTCATACACAACGATTCATACACAATGATTCAGACACATGGCGATAACTTCTTACAATGATTGTTAAAAAAATGAGGATAATGTGTTGGTTGGAAGGATCAAGGGGGAGTTAGGGGGGTTTGAAAACCCCGGAAAGTTAGGGGGAGAGACTGAGGGGGACGCCAATGAGGACGCTCACTCGCCGCGGTGGCTGTTAGGGTTAAAACCAAGAGAGAGGGGGTTAACCCTAATCGGATCCCTAATGAAATGGACGGACGGACCGGAGTGAACGTAATAATGGTATAGTTAACGCTCGCTTATATTTATAATCTTATATTTATTCGCTCTATAATATTTATTATACCCAGTCACGAGTGACCGTGAATGACGTCAGTACACCTTCGCAAATCTCGTAGCAGCAAAACAATCGCTCGCAATCCATCGCAAACAGTCCAATTCGACAGAGACATACGTGTAAATGCCAATGCATGCCGATGAGTGCCAATAAGATGCCAACGGAGCCGATCCTTGCCTGTCCATTCTCTTCCAGTCCGCGCAAATCTTCGTTCGTGGGTTTTTCATGGTGTTTTCGCGAGATTTGCGCAGAATGGCAGAGAGGAGACAAAAACAATTCTCTGAGCAACAAAACAAGTGCAAGCAAACCATAACAATTCCTCCAATCGACCTAGACCAACAGAAGGCGCCAACATAAGACATGAACGGCGCCGATTCAACCGCAACGAAGAAGAAAGGAGCGAAGAGGGGACCGAAAGCAGGTTCAAAGAACGATGTAGCCAAGGCGAAGAACAGATCTGACTGGTACAAGGCCTGCCATTCCTTTCGTACAGAGTTCAAGCACATGCAAGCCAAGTCGTTCCTGGCATCTTCCGCATCCGGATCCAAGTTCTCAGGAACGCAGTCGGAACAGCAGAGTTTTGGTCGTTACCTGAAGCAATACGACAGCAAGACTTTGGTTGGTAGCGACAAATCCAAGCGACATGTTGCGCCAAAGTATCCGGAGTTGGAGAAGAGGCTTGTTGCGTACATGGATCTGCGCCAACAACGAGTCAACAAGGACCATTGTGGACTGTCGTACATCACGTTGAGAGCCAAGGCACTTGCTTACGCAAAGCAGCTCGGTATACCGGAAAAGGAACACATATCAACCTGCAGACATGGGCATGATTGCTGCCCTTAAAGTAGGATACAAATGCATCATGCTGTCTACTTTGCTTGATCTCTTTGACGTTGAAGGAGGCTACGAAGCCTGTGCCAAGCGGCGACTCAAAACAACGAAAGGGTGCCGTGGCTTGGCCGTTGGAGCAAGGCACATCTGCTTGATGCCATGACTATCTTGAATGACATTTGGAACCAGGATGGTCGCTATGCAAAGGAGAATGGTGTCAGACGCTGCTGGAGAAAGGCGGCATCCTTCCATCGCCATGGAAACAGCAATCAATGTTGACCTTGGATCCAATTCAATCCCTATGAAGGAAAAGGTAATGAGCAAAGAGGATTCTGATGACTTGTGTAACCTCATGAGTGCTCTCCAAGTCAAGGCTCAAGAAACTCAGGTCGATGTGGCCAGGCACGCCATTGCATTGCAAGGATCGTTCGCTGCTGATTTCGACAGGTACTCTAGGGAGGATGTGCTGCAGATGGGGGAGAATTGGATTGAAATTGAAGATGAGCCTGAAGTCATCAGTGCAACCATCGACGAGAGATAGAAGAGCTGGAAACGACAACAACCGAAGCCGAACTGGCTGTCCTTGATGATGAGGAGCCTGAACCGATGGACGTTGACCCGGAACCTGCCGATGTGTTTGCCTCATTTGCCGAAGCTGAAGAGGCGCTCAATAAGCTGTCCGAAAGTGCCTCCAGCTTGGGTATCAACCAAGCTGCTACTGTGCATCTTGATAGGTTTGCCAGAGCCTTGAATATGGCCAGGGCGACAAGGGCTGGCAAACGCAAACGTGATGGCACTCTCCACTCGTTCTTTACTAGTGGTTAGTAGCAGTAACGCTCTATATTTAGACACACTGTTATATTTACTGGATTCCTGAATCCCCCCCTGTATATATATCTGAATGTTGACTGTAAACGCCCACCTCGGTCCCCCATTAGAACTAATGTTAACAGATTCGTGCTGATTCATGAGTCGTTTTTTTTTCATCGTTCGTCTCTTGATTCCTTAGTTCCAGCTCGCTACACTGGGGTACAAGTACCTCATGTTGGATCCTTATGACGAATACATGCACAACGTCTAGTTACATCGGCGACAGTTGCAACAGTACCGAACACACTCAGGTTCGGCTTTGCTCGCTACACTCCGGTACAAGTACCTCGTATTGGATCCTTATGACGAATACATGCACAACGAAATTGTCAATCCAGCAATGTAGCCGGCTCCGTATAGTTACATGGCGACAGTGGCAACAGTACCGAACACACTCAGGTTCGGCTTTACTGCTACACTCCGTTACGGTCCTTGCATTGGATCCTTATGACGAATACATGCACAACCGAACATTGTCATCCAGCAAATGTGTCGGCATACACACCGTATAGTTACATCGGCGACAGTGGCAACAGTAGCTACCGAACACACTCAGGTTCGGCTTTGCTCACTACACTCCGTTACCTCGCAATGGATCCTTATGACGAATACATGCACAACCGAAGATTGTCAATCCAGCAAATGTAGTCGGCTACACACCGTATAGTCACATCGGCGACAGTGGCAACAGTACCGAACACACTCAGGTTCGGCTTTGCTCGCTACACTCCGGTACAGGTACCTCGCATTGGATCCTTATGACGAATATATACACAACCGAATATTGTCAATCCTATTGATCTATAAGGTGTCTATCTAATGAAAAAGGAGTGGTCTATTGGTCGGTAATCGATGATCTATTATCTTACGAGTTATATCTATCTTTATCGTACGAAAGAAGCAAGTCGTTCGCCCGAGGACTTGTGCATACAGGAAAGTGGGTACCGACACATGAATCACCACCAAAACACTAGGATTCAATGAGGGATGGCTTTCGCTTCTGCACTGGAGATATTGAGTGAGGCTTGATAGTACGGTTGGTTGGATAACAGAGGTGCGATCGATGGATCGACTCGACTCGTCACTCGTCACTCGAATAATTAAAGGACAACTCACCTTTTGATGGCAGAGATCTGACTGCCTGCCCATGGTCCATAGAAATGAATGAGGGATGGCTTTCAGTTATGCACCTTCAACAAACACTCTTGATAATAGGCTTAACCCGTATTGTATCAGTCGTTCGTTCGTTCCAACACCATTCTTGTCGGCCAAGCTTGGATTTCTCTCCTGTTTGCCATAGCAATTCAATGAGGGAGAGAAGTCAGTGCTGCACCTTCAATGATGGACTTGAACGGTACTGGTACCGTACGGTACGCGGTACATACATGTGCAGGCAATCAGTTTATCCTTAACCTTAGTAACTTCAACGGTTCTTTTATCCACGAATCGTTCTAAATCTTTCGAAAGGGAGCTTGTTACTTAACGATACACATGACCGTTGATTCTGCAACTGAAGTGCCGCTACTCTATTTTTCACAGTAAATGCCGGCGAATCGATTTCGGAGTGCAACTGAGGGGTAACCAAAAGGAGCGTCGTCTCATGAGACGTAATTCGGAACAGGGATTGAGAAGACACTCTGCCGAGCAACCACCCTTCATGCTTGTTTTGATTGATGTCTAACGTTGGTTATTTTGATTAGCTGATCCCGTGAAAAAAGAGCGGTTCCACAAGGCCAGCCAGTACCGGTTCAGGGATTGCTGTCCAAGAATACACTAATCTGTCCTTGGTACTCCTTCAGATTGACATGAAAATCGGGGATGTTGAATGCTGTAAGGTATGGTGTTGCTGGTGCCCCCCCTACCCCAGGCCCTGCGCCAGCAGCAGGCCCTGGGCAGCAGCGGCTGCCACAGGCGGTGCAGGTGTGCCAGGGGCTGGCATACGGTAGAAAATTGCTTCCGCAGGAAGATCCAATGACCAACCATCAGGAGTATCCGGCTGGGCCTGGCCAGGAGTAGCCACGGGTGGAGCTGGCATTGGCGGTGGACGAACCTATCTGTCTACTGGAACCTGTGGAAGCATATTTATAAGCGGTGTTGCCGCCTTGTTCCAAGCATTCTTTGTTTGAGTTGAAAGTGACTTTGTTCCAAAATCAAATGCATGGCGAACGGTCATATCTCCAGTAGTATGGTTCTTCTCCCAGACAACCAAGGCAGCTCCAAAACAGCCTGCATTTCGAGCTCCAATGCCCTCCTTCTTCCAGACTTGTATCCCGATGAACAAGCTTCCATAGTGATGACTGAGAACAACGTGCCCAACTTCCTGAAGGGCATCAGCATTCTGATTGCCAAACTCAAACTCCACAACAACCCGGTATTGTGGAGCGTCTCTATCCATGTCCACATCAGCAATTCCAGTTGGTGGATTTGGGTCTGGATACACTGGTGCAATCGAAATGTCTGGTTGGTAGGTGCCACCTCCACTGTGGCACTTGTTAACGAATGTAGCCAAATTGTTTTGCCTCACGTATTCACCAATCACGTCAGAAAATGCACCATCAACTGACCCGTGAATAGGTCCAGGCATCAGGGTGATGAAAAGAGCTGACATGTCTTGTTACATGGGGAAAAGCGCAAAGCGGAATCGTGGGAATGCATCGGGTGTTTTCCATGTTGACTTCACATTGATAGCAACCAACAGTAGGGAGAGCTTGAAATGCAATGGGAATCTGCATCGTCCTTCTCCGTGCAGAAAGCAAAGCGTTCCTGGTACTCCTTACATACTCCCTTCAAATGGTCGTCAGCCACCTTTTCTTTTCCTTTGTTGTCAATGGGTTTGTAGTCGGCTTTAGAGTACCAAACCATCTCCTTCTCAATCCATCCAGCAGCCAAGTCACGGAACAGTGTTTGAGTAGAAATGGAGCGAGAAGGTTCCAAACGGTTTGCTACCTTTGTTTTCTTTGCTGCCGGAATATTTTCAGCAGTGGGGCTGGATCTTGCCTCTCTTCTCGGCTTTCCACTTGCTGTCGCTGTTGATCTTATTGGCTTTGCATCATCTCCACAACTAACACTCGCCATCTTCTCTGTTGTTTATGGGGCTCTCACTTGTTCGTCAAAAAACTGGTTCGATTGTGTGCCAGTACCGGTACGGTAGGCACCTGCTCTGTGTCGATGCAGCAGTGCTACATCAAACAGCGGAATGGCTCAGAGATTGAAGTGACGCTTCCGTTGAGTTGATGTTGTTGTTTGCTAATCGGTGATCGAAGAACTATGTTCAGTCGTGCGTGAAACTATCAATCTATCCGTAGTAGTCACTAGTAGAACTTACGTGAAACTATTCGTTTTTCTGCGTGAAACTAGCCGTGTTTCTGCGTGAAACTAGCCGTTTCTTGCTAGTTCCTAGTTTCACGTTGCGTGAAACGGCGTGAAACACGGCGTGAAACTAACCCCTAGTTTCACGCATGCATGCTAAATGCGTGAAACTAACGGCTATTTTCAAACAAACTGAGTCCCATTTCCGCACCCTGCTGTTGCACTTTCGCTTTCTCAATTGAAGAAAGGCTCACGCCACCACCGGTAGCTGGAGTCTTGACTTTATACGAGGGACGATTTACCATTGTCGACCAAAGAAAGTTTGGTAACGTCTTTTTCTCCTTCCAGGAAAGAAGCTGCCAATGCTATACTTTCTCATCAGCACGCACTTCATACAGTACTTGTATCGTGCCAACTACATTCAATACACTGTCTTCCAACAAGCACAAAGGCGGCGTCATTCAAGAAGGTCTGGATGCACTTCAAGAGGAAAGAACTTTATGCTACGTTGCAAAGGCGCCACACCGAAGGGAAGATGGAAAGCTTTCGATTGCAAAGGATCGCTCTTTGTGGAGATTTATTTGGTTGCAAAAAGCGCCTTTGTCCTCCGTGAAAATGAGGTGTGACAAAGGCTGACGGTGCTTGTCTTTTGACGTGGTTTTGCTGCTACGCAAAATCAAGTGTCCATTGTTGTTCTTGGAATGCCTGCAAGGTTTCTCCCCGAAAGAAAGCCGCACAGAATGCTCTCCTCGTTGACGCAGTTATCTTCAACTAACGCGCCTGTTACGAATGTTGCAGAACCATCCAAGTTTATGGTATAGGACGAATCTTTGGAGCTAGCTAGCTATTAGCTCTCGAGGTTGGACTCATCTCCACCATTGTGATTGCTTAGTACATATATCAACTTCTAGTAGGAGGATAGTCAGTTTGTGCGTTCATGGTCTCCTGGTGCAACTGGCGCTATTGGCAACAAATGCTCTCGCACAATTCCTAACCAATGTCGACAGTTGTCTTTCTGCTGCCCTTTGGCTTCTAGTGACCTTGCCAATGGCACCGTACCCAAGTCAGGGCCTACCAAACCAGTTCGGTATGACATAAAGTAATACGGTTGCTTTCGGTAACGTTGGAGGTGCATGGTTTAACAAACTACCCTCAGAAGCTAAGATTTAGATTTTACAGGCCCGTCACTAAGGCGCTGTTACCTTCTGTAAAAATTCTACGTTGTGTAACGTGGTGCACTCGGAAGTCGGAAGAGCTGACATCATGAACTTGAGGATCCCAGTGGTTCAGCAAGTGAATTTTATAATTCATCGACAGCTGCAATTTTCTTCGCTGTGGAGCGTTGGCACGGGTTGCTAAGTCTTTTGACCATTTGTGCTCACAAACTCCAATGAAACCAATAGCCCGAAATGAGAAACACCAGCTGTCCATGCTTGGAACTTGGTCACTTGCCAAGAAGTGTTGACATCATGCTAACGTGGTGGCAAAAAGAGAGGACAGGAGTTCCTGAAATCAAATTCGGAGGCTTCGGCAGGAAGGAGCGAGCCGGCCAATCGTCTGAGTTGGGATGCAAAGAAGGAAACAACCACGAGAAAGAGAGAGCAGCAGCCCAAAGCCATTGGCAATCCTCATCACAGCGACCTCATCCTCTCCCACAATTTTGTATGACTCAGGCTCGTCATACCGACTTCGGACAACAAGGTTTAGCATCGGAGACACGAAAAATGAACTTCTTTAGCGAAGAAGATATGGCTGCTGTGGGCGCCATCTCCAACATTATGCAGCAGGGTGCGCAGAAGCGTAGCCTTGATGACAACGCGGACGCCGCTGGAGGAATGCGACCCAGCAAGATGGCCCGTCCGGACCCTGCGGTTGCCGCTGCTGCTGCTGCCGCCGCAGCTCGTCCCACCAGGCCCGCTCCAGTGATCCGAGAGCTCAAACCAGCTCCTTACTTTTACTACCGCGATCACTCGCAGGATGCGGACCCTGATCCGTTGACGCCTTTGACTCCTCCTGGCCGCGTGCCCAACTTCCCGGCGAAAATGCAAGCCATTCTCAGTAAGAAGGAGTACAGTGATATCGTGGCCTGGTTGCCTCATGGCCGCTCCTGGCGCATCTTGAAGCCTCGTGAGTTCGAGGTCAAGGTGATTCCAAAGTTTTTCGAACACTCCAAGGTATGTTGTTACTACTACGTCTTGCCATGGTGGGCTAATATTCTGTTGCCACGTAAGTAGTGTTCTCACCTTGATGATCTCTTCTCTCGCTGCAGTTCTCATCGTTCATCCGCCAGGCTAACGGATGGGGATTCCGACGCATTACTCAAGGACGCGACCGAAACAGTTACTACCACCCGCTCTTCCTCAGAGGCCTTCCCCACCTCTGCAAGTCCATGAAGCGTCCTGGTATTAACGAGAAGAAGCAGGCCGATCCCGACCATGAACCTGACCTCTACGCTATCAGCGAAGAGAATCCTATTCCTGAGAAGAACCATGATGACTCGGTCCTCTTGCACTGCACTTTGCAGGGAGGACCCAAGGCTCGCATGCCCATTTACTGGGGATCGACCGCTGCCGCCACGTCAGTTCAGCCCGTCGTCCACACTACCGCTGCCCCCAAGGATCAGTTGGCTTTGCAGTCCTTCCAACAGTCCATGAACTCGTTTGACCAACAGGTGATTCACATGAAGCCTCCTTCTCCCATGAATGTGTCGCCCCCGGTGGTGGCCAAGCCCATTGTGGCAACCATCCCGTCCTTCTTGGCCATGCCCACCACCGGTGCTCCTCCCACGGCTCCTGTCCCTGCGACGGTCCCCGCGGCGGCTCCTCAAGCAAATCCTTTTGCCGCCCTTGCTGCTGCCAACCACATGGCCTTTCCAATGCCACCACAGATGCAGATGGCCATGAATCCTGCTATGCCACAAATGCAGATGGCTGTGAACCCTGCAATGGCTTCCCAGTTTGCCGCTGGCTTTGCTGCTGCCACTGCCATGACCCAGCAGCATTTCAACACCATGTTCAGCAACATGGCTGCTCAACAGCAGGGCTTTCAGCAACAGGCTGCTCAACAACAGACACAGGGCCAACAGCAATGAGTCGCCACGGGTTGTTGATCGATATCAACTATTAGGTTCATGTTGCACATTTATACATTACGATTACGGCCTGTAGATGTTTCTTTGCCGCCTTCTCTGCTCTTCTACATTTGAACAATTTTCTCTCCTTAATTCCACACAAATAACTTGTTATTAGGAGCTTTTACATATCAAATACAATCCACCACAGGAGGCAGTTCCACATCTTCTCGGGTCATCAGCCGCATATCAACTAACTGTGGTTGTCTCGTCTAGCTAGCCATCAGGTGGCTACCTTCTAAATCCACCACCGGTTCCAGTCGTCAGCGGCAAGGTCATGCACTGAAACCACTGGAAGATTTGCAGTGGGTGGCACGGCAAGTGGTTGCAGGAATCGCCATAAAGGAAGTCGAGCATCTTGATGTCCAGCCAAGGCTCCATGCGCCTCGATATAGGATTCTGCTGGAAAGAGGGTTCGTAGACGAGGTGAGATTGGGTCTCTGAAGAACAGGTGGAGGCATGCCCACTGCGCTGACGCCACTTACCCATTGAAGCTTTTCGGTTGCCATGAGCTGCTTGAGTACCTTCAGGAATGCGTTCCAGTCGACGCTGGGGTCAGGAATACCTTCCATGGCATCGGCGCCATCAAACAGCAAATGGCAAAAGACCTGGAGTTCGCTCAAAGTCAGAGGCCTCTCGTCTAGCATGTCCAGTACCCGATCATGATAGCCAACCTCTCGGAGCCGGTGGAGTGGTAGGCCATAGTTGAGCCATGGATTGATTCGATGAATCTCCTCTGCTTCTCCTACACAATCGTCCAGAACTTCCACCGACAATTCCAACATTTCGTCCAAGCTATTATAGTACTCGACAACCGAATCCTCGTCTGTGCAGAGTCGAATGACAAGCCACACTGGGAGGCCTGCAAAAGAGATAGTTTCAATGAGCAACGCATGTATGTTAGCAATCCAAAGGGATCAGGCATCCGCCTTGGCCATTAAGTTGCACTTACCTTCTAGTTGTCTCAAACTATCCACGAATGCTTGATTGTGTTCGGGCCCGCCGCGGCCGTAAGGGTCACTGGGAAGCCCATCTGTGGCGATTGTCACAGAGATTCGTTGTCCACTGGCACGCAATTCTGGTGCCATTTCCAATACCTCCTGGTGGATACATCGAATATGATCGACCAGGGGAGTACATCCGTAGGGGTTGATTCGTCTCATGATGTTCAATCCCCGTTCGATATCCGCGGCGATGGTGTCATTGTTGGGCTCGTGGCCTTCGGCAACACCAAAGATCTGTTGTGCGTCGCCCAATACAGGGTGGTTGAGCAAACGAAAGCTCGTCGGAGCTTGGATCAAACCAGTCAGGCGAATGTGATAGTTTATTGTGTCTCTGAGCTCCTCGAAGCGAGTACAGGGCACCACCTTGATGGTGTTTCGACCATTGACGTCGACCAAGCGATGCCCATCGTTGCGCTGCATAGAACCGGAGTTATCAATTATAAATATCCTCTTGGCAAAGGATTTCTTAACCTCGCCAAGAGATTTTGCCATGCCCAAACTGTAGCCTTGTTTCTGGAGCGTTTGGAGGGTGGCATCATCCAAGCCAGCGGCGTTCTGTGGGAACTCGACGACTTGGTTCGTCGACCCTTGTACAACCATGGCAAGGGAAGACGACTCTGGCGGCGGCAGAGGCACGGGCACCGCCATCGCAAAAGGAACGTCGATGGACTGCTTCTTGGCTGACAGCATTGTCGTTGTTGGGACGAGGGGTGCTTGGGCTTGCAAGGTTTCCATCTTGGAGTTTGTGTGCAATGAAAGCAACGAACTCAGAGTGGTGTGTGGTGGTGATCGCAAATCAAACACCACGACTTAAAGCGGTACTGGATTTAAGGTCGGATCTCTTTAAATCTTTGGGTGAGACCTCAAAGAATCCTCAAAGGTTTCCGTTCGACGACTGAGGAAAAGCAATGTGCCCGCCTCTGCTGGGCCAGTACGGAACGAGCAGATGACCTTACAGGAACAGAGTTGGGCTAAGCGAAGCAAGGAAATGGCATCGAAAGGCGACAGTATGGTACCGTACGGTACAGTCGCAGCAGTGTGCCCAAAGGCAGGCACGGTATCATAGCTGAAAGTACGGTACTAGTAGGCGGCTCCCAAAGCCTTTGCCGTTCATACTGCAGCAGCTTTTGGTACCGGTACACGTATGACAAAGAAAGGGCACTATTGATAAATATCGGTACATGTTCTAGGGTGACAGGTCCCACGAGTACGCTACTTGGCTGCCTAGCCAGTTGGAGATTGCTAACCAGCAATGGCAGTGTGTGGGACAGTGGGATCCTCGACGTGTGTGTTAGAGTGGCATATTGGGTATGGGCTGGGCCATGAGGATCCTACATTCATGTATTGCAACTACCTAGAGGAGCTGAACGCTCACAATTTCAGCAGAACCATTCCAGCATGACACAGCTGGTACAAAGGCAGCTGTGGTCCCTTCCAGCTTTGATCGCAAGTTGGACACGACCTTGACGTTGCGTTGGCCAGTGACAGAGATTGATAGTGCTCCATTGCAAGCACTGCCCGCTGACAGATCAAGAGTCAAGGTGACCTGGGCATTCCGAAATTTGGCAGCTTCGCCGAATAGTCGACCGGGCTCCTTTGCACCATCTGACCATTCAGCTCCATAATAGCCATGAATCCCCCAACAACCATTCTGACGACCACAACACTCTCCTTGATTTAAAGCAGAGCCAGATTTTGTCACACCCAGCCAAACCCCAGTGCCACGGGTGTTGGAGGGATCTTCGTCGGTGGGATCTGAAACTGTGTTCACAGTCCACTGATCACTGATATTTTCGACCAAGAACAAATCGTGGAGATCCCTGCATAGAATCACTTTTCCACCGAAATGGCTTCCCATAGAACGTTTTGGACTTGGCGTTCTTCCATGCCGTTGCACCAACATCAAAATTGGGTTTGTAGAAAGATACTTTATGTTCATGCTTTGCTCTTTTTGCTTGTTTCAGCAAGGCATTCGCAAGCTGGTCCTTGGCCACCAAGTCTGAAGAGGAGAGCAGAATTTGCAAATCATCGGGGTCAATGAATTCCAGTTCTACAAACTCTCGAACCAAGGCCTTGGCAGTTCGGATACGGTCATCTTTAGTCTCATCAGGATCTAATGGCTCACATTTGGACCAGGCATGGCAAAGTTTGAAAATCTTTGCACTCCCAATGTTTGCAGTGGCATCTTGAATGATGGCTTCAATTGCTGTTGTGGAGATTTGCCCAAGAATGTTTTCATTCAGGTCTTCTGTCATCCCAGCATTAATTATCCATGACTGTGTAATCAAATCATCTGAAATGATAGTCCCCCCTTGTTTTGATGCTGCCAGAATGGCCAAAGCAACAGATGGTGTCTGTTTCAAAAGAATGTCAAGGCATTTCTGAGCTTTTTGGCACAGTCCAGGCAACGCTACATATGTTGCTGCCTCTGTCAATGCCAGCAGAGTTTGGAATTTCTTCCACAAGGCTGGCGAAGAGGTTGGACAAGTGTCTGCTTGATTACCAGAAGGTGCTGCTGAAGATCTGGTTCCAGCGGGCTTGTCTGCAATGGCAACGACAGTTTAAGTTCCTGTTGTTCTGGCAAGAACTCCCACCGCATGCTGGTGTTGGGAGGACTTGCCTTCCAAAGTTTCGCCGTCAATACTGTAGAGAGTCATTCCCACAGCCAATGGTGAGTCGGCTGCGAGTGTTCCTTTGCCGATAAAAGATACAAACGCCATCTTTTCACAATCGTGTTTCATCGACGCCAATGTCATACCAAGCTTGGTACCAGCCTCCTTATGAAATGTTGCTGCTATGTATTCCTTGCCATCTGGGAGGCGGGGAAGTCCAGAAGTATATCCAAAATACGCAACCAACACGCTGGCAGTGTCAGTATGGACGTACTCCACAATCGCCTCGAGAATGGTGCTGGAAAATCCAATGGGGACGACATCCTTGTTGGCTTCCTGAAATCTTCCCTTTTGGAACATTTTGTGAAAGGTGAAAGTATTCACTCCGAACGGAGAGAGCCATTCGATTGGCAGGCACCAGCAGTCCATCTGTACCCTTCAGATATACATCGTGGTACTCTTCATCTGCCAATTTGGCAAAGGCATGCGAAAGGGGAACTCCATGACGGTCTCGAGTCTCGAGTCTCGTCTCTCGTCCTGGTCTGGTCGTCTTGGCTCTCAAGTCTCAAGCTAATGTTTTCTGAACCCCCCGAACCTTATGAGACCATACATGTAACCCCCCTTCTCCTTGCTTACCAATCTCCCCCCCTACCGGTACCGTACCTACCTCCCGAGCTTTTGTGCAGTGATCTTTCCATTCGCGGTTTGTTCGAACATGGCACTACTGCTATTATTGATGTATGTGTTGCAGATTTGGAGTGTGCCTCCTACCGGGACAAAGATCCGCTCAAAGCTATATCTAATCAAGAACACGAGAAATCCAAGATGTGAATCCAATCATCCAATCTCACCTCTTTCCTTCCCTTTGTTGATTTTGTGAATGGTATGCTTGCTTCTGGCTGTCAATGCCAACAAAAACTCGGTATTCATACTATGTTTTCATGCAGACCTTCAAAATTATTGCCCTTGTGAAAGCTACACAATGATGTCTCCCCGTGGATCCACCAAGGCCAAGCCCTTTGGCCCCCATACTGGTCCTTCATACTGGTCCTCAAATTTTCGCCCCTGATCCCACGGAACCTAGTCCTGAATTTCGACTCTTGCTTGCTCAAGCCTGGCCCTGGCTGGCTTCTGTAGATAATCCACCTACCAGTACCAAACCCCCCGGTTTACTCGAGAGTGTATTGATGGTTTTGGGGGTCGAGGGTGTGAAAGGATTTGGCTCCAATGCTAAGGACGCACACTGCTTCTACAAATCGACCGTAAGCAAGCCACGCATGTTGCCGGCTTCTTGTTGTTTGGTGCTCGACGACGATGGATGGTTGGTCGCCGCTTTTTGGCCACAAACTACTACTGGCTATGACATAGCTAGGTACCCGCTAGCTAGCTAGAGAAGAGGAATACTAAGAGGAAGAGACAACGAGAGCTTTGTCTTGACTGTGCGTCGGATTGGATCTGCGTACACTAGTCAAGAGCTCTCGTGTTTATCTACTCTGTACATTCCCTAGCAAGTAGCAAATAATTATTACTGTATCATAATATCAACGATGGACGTTCCCGACATTGACGTGCTCGAAATGGCGGGCATTTACCGCAAGCGCATCGAGAATCTGTTTTCCAATAATGACGGGAAAGGCCCCAATAGCAATGCTCCCTCGTTACAGCAGTTTCTGGAAGGCTGGTTGGCAGATGTCAAGGGAGACACATCCCAACAAGTGGCGGTCAAGACCGAAGAGAGCAACCAAGCAGCAGGATCTGCCAATGACAACGGCATGGACGACTCGACGTCTCAACGAAATGGTCGACGAAGTTCCGTTGCCAGTGAAGTCAGCAACAATATGGACAGCGGCAGTCGCCGTGGATCTCTCATGAGTACTACTACTACTACTGGTGGTGGTCGAAGCAGTATCAAATGGGAACCTCCGTTACAATCCGACAATTCGTATCCACCGTCTCCACCCACGTCACCTATCGTTCCACCGCCTCCACCCACTCAAGACGAATTCCACAGTGAATCGTTGCCGGGGGCGGTCGCTCATATCTTGGTGGAACAAGACGACACGTTGAATAAGGACGACATTGTCGATGAACTCTCGTACATGACAACTCGCGATTATGACATGGACAGTACACTCGAGTCGGTACAACAGTTTGTGCAAGCCAAAAACTTTACCATGACAAAAATGGAGACGTGTGATCGATGGAAAATTCTACGACAACCACAAGGATACTATCTACTCATTTTACGATTGTATCTCAAAGATCGAAGCATCCAAACTCATTATTACAAACACCACGCCATGGCATATCACAAACGGACGCTCACCGATCGCACCACGCTGCCAATTGCTCCCAAGGATATTTCCTCTATGGAACGCGCCGAACGAGTCTTTGACAGTCATTTCAGCTCTCTGGTCGGAACGGCAGCCAAATATCGACATTCCGCATTGCTGCACGCCTACGAAATTACTCGCAAACCAACCACCAATGGCAACAAACGAAAACAACAACATGACAACACAACAGCAGCCGAAACTACTACTACGAGTAAACGATCGCGACCAGACGTTGACGAAGAACGACGATGGGTACCCATTACGGGTGAATACACGTCCATACCCGATGCCATTGTACTCTTACTCAAAAATATGGATGTCAAAGCCAATGATATTCCCAAAAATCTCAATCATGATTATTGGTTGGAATCCGTGAAAAAATACGTTCGCATGCCCGTCACACGCTATCTCAATACCAAACTACTCAAACCCGTGTCATTGCAGCAACAATCCGTCAATAATCATTTGAATATACTGAGAGAACGGTCTGGGAATCACTTGGTGGTCATGACGGTGCACTTTGAGGAAGACAGGCATGGACGTGAGTATAGTATATAATATTATATACGCAACCATGCAATCCAGTGTTTTGGTTCTTGCGTTGTACTCAACTAACTTGTGTGTGTCATTTTTTATAAATTTGCAGCGGTTCCAAAGTTAACGCATGGAATGGTGTGGCTGGCCGAAGATAGACTCCTCTTTGACCACAACACGGTCGACAAACCAGCCGTCGTCACCGATCGGGATTTGAGATCCATTGGAACGGCCAAAAAGGTATTTGATTCCATCCTACGGCCATTGATGGGACGACGTTCGCGACTTTACAAATTTTGCAGTGTTCGCTCGGCCTATCGCATCAAACACATGACGGCGGCTGATATTGAAGAAATGGAAGAAGCCAAAGCATTGCGAGAAGCGGCGGCGGTGGCTGCCAGCAATGCTGCATCTGCAACTGCCTTGGATGAGTCGTAGCTAGAGATAGCCTAGCTAGATGAAATAATGGCTACCAGTACTAACGGTTTTGGTGATGAGGATACTGCTGGTAAGCTTCACGTTGAAACTTTTGTACTAGTGCGGGTGTACAGTAGCCGTAGCTGTGAAGGTGTCACTAGCTTCTTCTCCCATAACGTTGTAGCAATGAAGTACATGTAGTGCTTTGTAAACGGTATGCACTAGAAGCCCTGTCAAAGGTCCACAGCTGATAGAACAGGGCAGAGGCACATGCAGCAATGACGAAGTGCTCTTGTTTCTGAACTTCCAAAGTGCACTTCCAAAGGTCCTCCTCCATGTTGGTATGTCAACGTCACGAAGGGACTTGTGTCATCTATGACTACATGAACTATTTCGACAACAAAGCTACATGTAGTAGGAGGATAACAATTAGATTTCTGATAGAGCCAACTAGTTTAACAACCTTGATATACTACAAGTAGGTGGCCATGCTTTCGAAACAAGCACATCTAGTACCATAGAGTCTCTAATACACCGTCTCTGGGGTACCTTTTTCAATTAAATGGTCAAGCAAAGAGCTCCAATCACCAATGCTGCCATTTCACCAAGTCGTTGTGTCATTGCTCCACTGGTACTCTGCATCGCATCGCCGCCTTCTTCCATCGTATC